GTATATATGTGCATATGTGCATATGAATATGTTTTAATATGTGTTTACTGACATTACTCCTGCTGCTGTTCAAAAATTGATTGAAAAGTAAATTTATACAGCAAACAGTAGTAATGGCCCATTCACTCATTTCACTGTTAGCGAACAGTGCAGAATTGTAGATCACCGAGTTGAAGAGCAGGCTTTAATTTGAAACCTGCCACTCTAGCACTGGTGAGAAGGCTTTGCAAAAACCCCTCCTGTTCTGCTGTATATCCCAACCTGCTAATTAAATCATGTAACCCTCTAGGATTATTCAGAAGTGCTTTAGAAGAATGCTAGCTTAGAAGGAGAATCAGAACTGAAAAAAAACCTTTGCATATATTGCAGCTGATGCTGAGATGCAAGTGCAAAGAAGTCAACTGAGAAACCTTGCCAAGTACAACAGAGAGCATTTGGCAAAACACAGGGGTGGCTCTTTACAGCAAGAATCTATAGGACTATAAAGTACTGTCAGCATTACGGAACCACCAACACCCTTTAGCTCAGGTTACTCTCCTGGCCAAACAAAGCAGAAACCAGCTTTGAGGAAAGCAAATAGGTTCACAGATAGATATGTTATATATAATACTCAGAACTGTGCTCTTATATGTGTGTTGAAGAGCACAGTTCTGATAATCTAATGAAAAATCTAAGGTTAACAACCTTTCTTTATATAACTGATGATAAGGTTACTGCATTATTGAATGAGTTCTCACATCCTCAGTAAAGGCTATCCTGTATTTTTTTATTCTCCTTTATGTCCTATGAACCACAAGGAAAAACCCCACCCTTTTACAAGAGCTTTTAAACATTTTACTGTTGCCCTTTGGGTAAGTCTCCTTCAAAATGTCTAGAATGAATGTTTTTGACCATAACTTTGTTCATGTTGAAGAATGCAGGGGAGGGGGGAGGTGTCAGTGCACAAAATTTTGTAGCACTAATATGCTATAACTAGATGTACTTAAAATACGTACATCTATTTTATGTAACAGTAGCCAGTAGTTTGAGACTAATGGACTAATGAAAAGGTTTGGCTTTTTTTCCTCCCACCTACTGGAGAGCCCAAGTAGAAGATAAAGAACTTGTTGATCATAAAAGCTGTTGCTATATTATGCTTGGAGAAGTCTATTTTAACATTCCTAATTTAAATAAAACTTACATCAGTGTAAAGTATTTAAATATATTCTAAAGGCTTTGATGTATATATTACGACAAAGGCTGTCTAATGTGGGAAATACTAGTTATATGTAATTTTGAAAACAATAAATGAATCCTAACAACGTTCATAAGATCAGAAAATTATTTATAAGCCAAAAATTTCCATGTATCGCAACTGAAAGTATTATATATATAAACTGAAACCTTCAGCTTCATGGTATTAATTAGCAAAAGCTGATGTACTACTTAATGCTAGAAGTGTATCCTTTTTACTGTAGTGTGATAACTCAAGACAAACCAACCTGCTAGGGCTTGGAAACATTTTCCTCAAAGAGAGTTTTTGTTTGTATTTAAGCTCAGAGTCTCTTTGGCTTATGCAATGGGCTCTGCAAAAGCTTGTAGCCCAGAGTGGAGTGGGAGCACAAAACAAGCAGTGCACTACCATTTACATGGAAGTCAGAATGCTTTAGAAGCAGCAGGTGCAGCCACTGCTAGGACATAAAATTGTTACCTGCAGTCGTTACCTTCACTGGTCTCGTCATATAACAGCACCAGTTCAAAGAATACACAGGAAGTTGCAGTCAAGTCTAGCACAACAGTGGCTGATAAATCTTTTTTCCCCAATGCTACCATTTTTTTGTTTTGGAATTCATTTGACTAGAGGGTCATCTTACAGTCCATACTTCAAATATAAAACATCTGGGCCACAAAGTTACAAAGCATTCACATATCTATGTATCATGTAAATGCTCCCAGGGCTTCCTAGAAATAGTGGTGGCGTTGAAAAGTTTTGAAATATACTTTGTTATCTGTGAAAGGAAGACGTGGAAAAGTGTCAGAACTCAGTAAGGATGTATAAATAGCACTTTAACTTTCAATCAAGATACATACATGCAGACCTCCAAGTTATGACACTGGGTAAAGCAGCATGAAACTAGAGCATGAAAGAGCAGCAGGGCTATGAAATGACACTGTGGCTTTAAGTGCTGATTTCACGCCCTCTCACCATGGCCTCTCACAGAACTGACCATTGCCTTCTCTGAAATTCAGACATCCCAGCTCCTGCTGGACTTAAAACTCAGCAGAAAGTGTAACCCAGAAATCCCTTGCTCTGTTTGCTCTGTTATAAAAGCAACACACAGGCTCATGATGCTTTTAAGTGCCGTTGTGCTGTCTCCATTCCCTCTCAAGCGAACCCAGATTTCCACACAGATGGTGACAGAACACCATTAGCACTTACATGAAAAACTCATCTGAAACCTGTATCAAATTTGTCCCCATTAGGTTCAAATTTCATAACTTCCAAGTAAAACTGGGCTTGATTTCCTCCATCTTTTCTCCTAGTTCATTTGAATTCAAAACTGTAAGTAAATGGTTTCTTCATTCCTTTGAGGTAGACCTAGGTCTTGAGAAAACCTAGAAAATACTTAAGTACGTTTGTTCATCCAGCAGAAAGAACCTAAGCCCTGTACACTTTGGATGCTGGACTTATGCTCAAGAATTTAGGATTATACAAAATCTCATTGATTCTGTACACATTTAACATAACCACTCAAAATCTTCAGTCTTTTCTAGCAAGTACTGGACACTCACATGTGCATTCAAAAATCTCTGGACTTAAATTCTGCTTCTTCCAGATTCATCGTACAAATTGAGGCACCTTTTTGCTATTATCTTTCATTGAAGAAAATCTTCACAGCTGTTAAAAAAAAAAAAAAAAAAAAAAAAAGAAAAAAGTACTGCTATATAGTCTGTTCCACAAAAGGTATGTTTTTATGCTCTTAACTAATTTTTCCAGTGTGGTGCACATATTTATGTTTGTGTGTGTATTTTCTTAAGACATTTATAATACCTTTCATTTTAGTAGGCATCAGATTGCTTCAGCTAAATGCTAAGCAAGGTAACAGGCTACACATTGAAGAAATATTTGCTAATGATTTGGAAAAAATAAGGAATTCAATAAAACATCTAAATGGCTTGCAATTTCTGGGGAGATTATCTAAGCCATTTCAGTTCAGAAAGCTTTTCAAATGCATTCATTATGCATGTGTCCAAGTTTCTAAAGAATCCACAGAAGAAATTTCAGAAACAGATAGATTATCAACATATTCAACAAGTTTTTTTGCATCCAGACTTTGATGATTATGTGCATGAGCCTTCCTGGAGTTACTTGGCAAGAACACTTCCAAAGATCATCTGCAATTGTCCTCATCTACCAAAAGTACTTAGAAACTCTACAGAGAATACAACTGCGCTTAAAAGTACTCTTCACTCATTAAGAGACAACCACCAACAGATAGATGCTTAGAAAAGCAACTGATGGAGGTTTCAAAGAAACTCACTCTGTCAGCTTGCAAGCATGCACATCTTGTCACTCAGTTTGCTTTGGAGGAGGTTGAGCCTTAAAGTTTAGGTACAAATAAGGTAGTAATTCTGTCCTTAGCGTTTCTGCAGATTTCCAGCTATGGGTGAGAGAAGTCTCTTCCAAATCAAAACTGAGAATGACTGCAACCTTACCCAAAAGGGTCCCATAAAGACAGCTACATTCTTCTTCTATAGTTAATCGAGTCTGACACTCATAGCATAAACTTACATGCATGTGACAGATTTGGTAAAAAAAAAAAAAAAAAACCAAAACAAACCCAAAACCAAACGCCCTCAAAACCCCCTTGAAATGTACTTTATTTGGGAACATTAAACTGTGTGAGTCACGAATGTATGTAACTGCAGTTAGCTTTAAGTGTTGAATTGAGAGAGAAAGAAAAATACATGCTGTATTGCAAAAATCTATAAAATTACACATTCGTATACAAGGACACATGACAAAATGTTTTATTAAAATAAAAAGCTTTAATATTTTTGCATTTAAAATATTTAGCAGAAAATAATTGCTACAAACATACATGTTCAAAAAGTTTTCAGTGCTTTCATTCAAAGTTCAGCATTTTGGCAAAAATAAGTTTTTCTGTATATACTTCAAAAGTTGGCTATTATAATACTGATATAAAATACTTCATGTAGACTAAGGTCAGGTGCATAAAATACAGTAAGTAATAAAACATACAGTTTGTATAAACATTTAAAGTATAAATTTCATTAGATAACATGCAAATACTGCAATATTTTAAATGGCACTTAAATACAGATACTGAGTTTCTTTATAATTTTGCATCCAATATGAGATTCTGAAATGTACAAAACTATAAAAAGAACATATTCCTTCACTAAGTCAGGTACTAGTATAGAGCTTGATTGTCATTTTACAAGCATTGAGCCCCAATGTCCTACAAATCTTCACTAGTCCAAGTAAAGACATCTACTGAAATAGGCCCAGGGCTAGTTAGTTTTCTTCATAATAAAATATGAAAGCATATTTACATGAGAATAAACTCTTAAATTTTTGGTAAGGTAATTAAGTAGCAGCAATTTGTTTCTTCCAAAAATGATGTTTAAAATAGGTGCATGCTTTTCGTTGTCACTGATATGCATCTGAATAACACAAAATTAACATTCTTCAATAAACTCAAAACACTCATTGCTAGAAAAAACCCTGTAAGATCCCTTCTCACAAAAATGATAAATCCATAATGTCAGAACCTTCCAGAGTATTCTTATGTTTCCAGGATCAACAGAAAACAATCTAATTGTGCTGAAACAGTCATCTGACTTTTCACATTATTCCAAATACTTTTAGTTCTTCATTGAAAAACAGTCGTTCATCAGATCTTCTACAATTTTTGTTTTCTAGTTCAGTGATCAACAATTCTGAATGTCCTTCACAATATAAACCACCACAATACTCATGCATATTGTGTAAGCAGTTATATATAATATATTAATCCTGACAAGGTGAATAAAAGGCTTATGAACACAGAGTGCAGAACAGGTACCACTTTAACAGAAGGCGAAGAAATGCTGAACGAAACTTGTACTTGAGACGCAATTAGAGCTGACAGTGGTACGTGCGATGCTAATGTTGGACTGTCTGAATTTATCAGTGACTCTATCTTTTCTGCTTCTTTATTGCAGGCTTCAATCTAAGAAAAAAAAAGTTATTATTTCTCTTCTTGCCATATAAAACGCCAATGCAAAAACATTGCTAGATAGCAAAATTCAGGAAAGAAAATCTGAGTTATTCCCATCAGCACATAAGATTTACATAATTTTGGGGAGTATACTTTAGAAAACATTGGAGCTTTTATCACAGACTTTGGTACTATGAAAACTACTGTGGAATCCCTGAGTAGCAGCAAAAGGGAAGAACATACAAGTTAATGTGGGTGATGTGTTTTGAATGTTGATGCCAGAAAGCTCACAGTATATTGTAATTAAAGTAAGTATCTCTGAAACTGAGGACTGACTTCCTGATTGACCAAGATACTGCCTTGAAGTCTGCAACAGTGGAAAAATCAGGATTTTCTACTTAGTGGGCTTTTTCTTCCAAATCAGGGAAAACTGATTTCTTTTATGGGAAGGGATGAGAAGAGAATAATGGAAGTAATAGGAAAACCTGAGAAAACCCAGGTTTCCATTCCCTCACCAACATGATGATAATTATGAATTTATGTTAGAAAATCCATTTTTTTCCACCTTACCTTCTACTTCAGCCCAGGAACCAATTTAGTACTAAGTCTCTTTAACAGCTTTGGAAGCTGCCTCTGGTGAAGTTTTAACTTTACAAACTTAATATCTGGATGCCCAAAGCTTTGGAAGTTGAGGAACTTCATTTTACACTAGTATACCCCAATGTGTCAGGAACCAGAATGAACCAATCAGAGCACGTAAACTCCAAAGGGACTTCATTATAAAGTGCTGTCAGCAGGGCCAGGCAAGACTATTAGAAACAACTATAAAATGGCAAGGAATTTTGTTCATTTTAATAGGAAGAAGATAACCTGTGCAAGACCATTGAGGATAACAAGCAGAAAGTAAAAAAGAAGCAACAGCTCCAAGACAATAATAATGCAATACAAATACCAAAGCCTTACTTCCATTGCTCTGAACTGCTCCTAAGAAAATAGTGTAAGAACTTTGAGCTGCATTTGTTGGTTTACCTAAAGGTAAAACTCTAAAGACTTTGGTACTGTGAGCATTAAGTTCTTGTTTGCTAGCATGAACTAGCTATGACACAGCAAGCTAGGTAGCTTAATGGAACGTTATTTCCTGTTTAAGGTCGTAATAGCATTTTGGGATCTCCCAGCACTTTTTACCATAAGTTGGAAAGGAATATCAAAACCAGGATGGTCTCAGAATAGTATCAACAGATTCTCTTTGGTATGAACCACTGCTTAACATCAAGGTGGGCACAATGTATTAATATGATATCAATATGTATGATGTGCTTCAGCCTAGTATCACATATACTTCAATCTACTTTTAACCATTACACCAGGAGTACCATTTAATATGCATTTAATATACAATTAATATTAATTTAAGAGGTTATTCAGTAATTTATTTTCATCAGTTTATATTTTCTGTTATTTTAGCCACAGAAAGTTGGGGGTTCTGCATTTATTAATTTTAAAACAAAAGTCATACTACTCTATCCTTCACCTTCCTTTACCTCCTCCCCTCTAATTACCCACACTCAAAAGCCTCTTACCAGAAAAGCAGGATTCTCATTTTACCTTCCATAGTACTAGCTATTCAGATTTGAGTCACTAGAGAAATCCCCGTGTACTCAGTACACAGGAAAATGCACAATTTAAAAACTGCTACATTGAAACTGAAGTAAATCCATGCCGGGTAAACAAAATAATAAAACAGTCTACCTGCAATGGTTTGGGGTTCTGATCCACAGGAATGATGAGAATCACAATTTCAGATTCTATGCTTAAGTATCCAAACACATCACACTGTGGCACTGAGACATGCAGGCGGATTTTTTCAAGTATGTCAAGTACTGTTATAGGCTTTTTATTTGTTACCTGGAAGAAAACAAAGAACTTAGTGGATGATGTGGTATTATGCAAAATTACATTTCTCCTCTTCAGTTTTAAGAACTTTATGTCATGCCAGAAAATTTATTTCAGCCATTAAACACCCAGTTCTAACATGCAGCAAAAAAATCCCCCAAACCCTCAAAAAAACCATTAAAAAAGTGAAAGGAAGAAGGGGAAAAAATGTTACTTCCTAAAGTAGCCATGGTTTTGATATGCGTTGTTCTCCACCTTCACAGTTAGTGTGTATCACCTCAATATAATGTAAATGGTTACCTGTTGCAGCAGCTTGTACTCCCATGCTGGGAAACAAGAGGCAGAGCAGCCCTAGCAGCTGGCACACCTTTACCCTCACAGAACTTGTCCCAAGAGCCACGAGAAATGAAGAGCTATGGCTTTGTGAAGACAGATGTACGTCTGTACATATGGGAACATGTGACATTTCAAGATCACTACATAACTACCAGATAAATGTATTTTTCTCTCAAAATTCTTATCTCTGTTCTGCTGTCTGTATCTGACAAACAATAATTTGATTATAGATGCTTAGTCTGTTGAAGGACTGCCACACCTTAAAGGTTTTTCACGTTTTTCCAGGTCACTTCTGGATGTGTTGAACAGTATAGACACCAACATGAATACTTCACTCATGACTTCTGGTCATTCTGCTGTGTTCTGTTTTCTAGCTTTAGCTGCAAGAGATCCATCCTTCTTATCCTATTGTAGCTTCGTTTCTTTTAAGACCACTGGTACAGGACCTTAAGAAACGGAAATCTGGGAAATCCAAGTAGACTACATGAATCAAATTTGCAAGGTGTCACACAACACTTCTTTTACCAGACCTTTGAAGGATTTCCTTGCCATAGCCCCATTAAAATGTAGTCTGACATGCTGACTGATCAGCAAACCCTGTTCAAACAGCCTTAAACCAGAAGCACATGGATACTTTTAAGGATGACCAACAGTGTCAAACTTGGATTTTTAATGCCTGAAATTCGAAATCTAGTAGATTAGATTAGAATCTTAGCAGATCTCTAATGTTTCTTTGCTCTGTGTAGACGCTAGCTTTTGTTTCCTGCTATCTTTACAAAAGAGGCCAGAGGGGTCAGGGGAGAAATAAAAAGTCTGATTTATAGAACTCTTCAGTAATTGAACCAGTTTTTTCCTCATATGAATCACCTATCTGAATTAAAATAGGCATACATTACTACTCCCTGCCCTCTTGGGTTGGTTAAATATATGTCAGCACTTCTAGCAATGATTCCATCTGTCTGAGACTTAACCATCTCCAGTACAATGGATGTATAGGCTATATGTATACGTACACTGTCAAGAGCAAGAGCTGCACACCAATAGTTTTACTGAAGGAATCAGAGGAGATCAATGTTATTAACATTAAATTAATGTGGATGACAGAAGTATCAAATTACTCAGATACACAGTTGGGTATCTTCTATTGTATTTGTAGGAGACAGTAGCTGGCCTCTGACTCACACTGGAGTAACACAGGCACAGAGTTTCCAACTCTCTATGCTCAGGGTAGTGTCACTCCATGCATAGTCTCCAGGTGGCTGCGACCACTTAGAGATCATTTCTGGAAGCTTATTGGATGACCCCCTGACTGACGTTCCCAAAGGAGGGAGCTTCAGTCAAACTTCTGCAATTTCTAATATGTGCTAAGAGAATGCTGCCTTGAATGACTGAGATATCACATATTTTAAATATAAATATATATATATTTATATATATGAGTTCTGAAAACTGAAGACTGTGTATTGTGGCATTAGGTGAGCAAGAGAAGAGAAAGTCAGCAAGACTCTGGTGACAAAGGGAAGGAAAAAAAGAGGGGGGAAAAAGAAATAAAAAGCAACTACTAAGTACCCTAAATCCAGGTATTAGGGTACTTCATAGATGAGAGGAGAGCAGTTAAGTTATCACCAGCTTGAGTGAGTCCAATAAATTTCTTTAACTAAAACTAAAAATTCTTCTTCACAGCCACATGTAATGTATGAACTGAGAAACTGCAGTGGTCACTGTGCTCCTGGTACCATTACAGAGGACAACTGGAAGACATTCCAGGATGCAGTCATGACCTAACAGACACTGTTACTCAGCAAAATTGGCCAACGTGCACATACACAGAGCACAAACAGACACAGAATGTCTGAGAGAATCAGCAGAACATCCATCAGCAGCACACCCTTGAGATGAAGGCCAACCACGCACTGGGCTGCAACAGCAAGACCAGACCCCGCAGAAGTCATCGTTCCCCTTTATTTATGCCCTCTCCCCCAGGCCACACTGATGAACTGGAGACTCGAGTCATAGAACCATAGAATCATATAGAACCATAGAATCATATAGAACCATAGAATCATATAGAACCATAGAATCATATAGAACCATAGAATCATATAGAACCATAGAATCATATAGAACTTCTTCCTTATATCTAGTCTAAACCTACCCTGGTTTAGTTTAAAACCATTACCCCTTGTCCTGTCATAGCTGGCCCTACTAAAAAGATTTTCCCCATCTTTCCTATAGGCCCCCTTTAGGTACTGAAAGGCCGCAATCAGGTCTCCCCGCAGCCTTCTCTTCTCCAGGCTGAACAAGCCCAACTCCCTCAGCCTGTCCTCATAGGAGAGGTGCTCCAGCCCCTGGATCATTTTTGTGGCCCTCCTCTGGACCCGCTCCAACACTTCCATGTCCTTCTTGTGTTGAGGGCTCCAGAGCTGGACGCAGGACTCTAGGTGAGGTCTCACCAGAGCAGAGTAGAGGGGCAGAATCACCTCCCTTGACCTGCTGGCCACGCTTCTTTTGATGCAGCCCAGAGTACGGTTGGCCTTCTGGGCTGCCAGCGCACATTGCTGGCTCATGTCCAGCTTTTTGACCACCAGCACCCCCAGGTCCCTCTCAGCAGGGCTGCTCTCGATCCTTTCTTCCCCCAGCCTGTACTGATACCGAGGGTTACCCCGACCCAGGTGCAGGACCTTGCACTTGGCCTTGTTGAACCTCATGAGGTTCCCACAGGCCCCTGTCCAGGTCTCTCTGGATGACAGAGACAGTGGAGTCCAGTGGAGCCAGTGGAGTCCAGTGGTGTTCAGCGTGTAGAATCTCCAGTCCTGGAGGTTTTAAAAAGTCAGCTGTCCAAGCTGATCTAACTGGAGTTAACCTTGCTTTGAGCAGGGGGCTGGACTAGAAGACCCCTCCAGGGGTCCTGTTCAAGCTAAATTTTTCTGCGTTTTTACAATAATAGCTAATTCTCTCTACTTCTAAACATATAAAAAGGTTAATATAATTTTATACTGTTTTTGGGAAATTCTCTTTCTGCTTGGTATTTAAAAAAATAAAAATCATGTGCAGATGCAAACATTAATTGTTTTGCTTCCCTAGGCACGATCATCATACTAGTCTATTTTGTTGTGATGTCGTGCCAAAAATCAAGCGTTCTGCTGTGTTCCGTATACTGAAGCATAAAAGCAGGGGTCAGTAAAGTGCAGTCCTTTTATAAATCACATGGGGAGTCTGGGCTTAGTATGTTGTGTTCAGTGATAGACAATGAACATCAGAAGATCAATCTTTCAAAGAGCAGCAATGAAGGATGCTGGTGTCTAACTTACAGAGATGTTAAATTAAAACCCAACATGTTAGCTGACGAGCAACAAAATCAGTGACAACTATCTAGATAACCCAAAGAGTGTAAAACCAATCCAACTTAAGCATAAGACAATGTCAGAACTGAGTTACCTACATTAGGAAATAGTGAGCTAGCAGAATAATCTTAACAAAAAGGCCATAAATAACAAATACATACTGGATTACTACCACGAGATAGATACAGTCCTGCATCATTGTACAAGTAATTTAAACTGCAAACCTGAATGTGTTTGTTTGTGCCTACTCTAATTCTGTTTTGCTTTGCATTATAATTAAATTTCTATACCTGATATTAAGAAATAAAAGTATAAACAGTATCAAGAAAAAAAAAAATCAAATCACACACTATCTACTGAAAAATAATGTGTTAACTTTTCAGGAGAGAGTATACAGTAACTTGACTTTTCCATGTACCATTTAACATAAGGCATAATTAAACTGTTTACCCTTGCAAAAGTATCCAGCTTGTCTTTGTCATATAAGATTCTCAGCATTCCAGCACATAGTGGACAGCAGGCTCCTATGTGAATAAAAAAAAAAAAAAAAAACACCAAACCCAACCTCAGAAATAAAAGCCAATAGTCTTTTCACTTTTAAGTAAGCAGAGGTCAAAAGCTGCATGTTAACTGAGAATGAAAATAGCAAGACTACCAAAGCAAAGCAAATCTTTCAATCTGATAGCAAAAGGACTTGTCTGACAGATTAGTGTTTAACACAGAAGCGGGTCCTATTTCTCCTACTGCTTTTCCTCACTATCTCAGAAACCAAAGGGCTAATATTTCAACTTTCTACCCATGATTGTGTATTTAATTCACCCTCCCAACTTATTATAATTCAGAGTGACTTGTACAATATTAAATGTAATACCAAAGCACAAATACACTTTTTCAAACCAGTGAATGAGAAAAATGCATAAAATTGTTTCTTTTTAAAAACTAAGCTTTCCTTGCTCTGTGTATTACCTGGGATTAGTTACCATTTCATGAAGGAAGCATTTGTGAAGACAATAAAACACTAGTTCAAAACAGCACAACTGCAAAACTATTCCTACTGTCTTCCTCTTTCACAGTAGTGTAAATACATATGGTATCTTACTCTGTCTTCTAATTAAATATAATCTTTGTTCATCTGGGAACTCTACTTTGACGACCGTTTGGCATTCCGGTGTGGTATCTGTGCTGTCACTTCAGTGACATTCTACCCTAGCCACCACAGGCCTCATTAGTTTCTCCCAAACCAGTCCTATGGGGACAGCTGCAAGTTTCTAAAGACTGAAGCAGTGTGACTTCTAAAGCCAAGGCTTTTCAACTTCAGAATTACTCAGCTGAGTCCTGATATTGGCTTGTTCTACCCCTAAGCAAAGACCTCTGCTTCATTCTTTCTCTTAGATGTCTCAAAGACATTATGGAAGACAGTATTTTAAAGCGTTCCAAATATGCACCTATTTATACACATAGTCTGGAGACTCTTTCCTATCTGCAGCAAACTTCAGCAACAAATTAACATACCTGGTGCAATGACCGGTTTGCAGCCAGCAGCAGAAAGCTGGGGGCATTTAACAAAGGCACATTCTGTATGAAAACCGTAGTCTGAGAGAACACCTACAGCCTGACAGTGTCCGTAATAGTCAACAGCCACACGGTCGGAATAGGCAGCACAGACGCTGCTGTAGGTTTCCCCATTATGTCCACATACAGGTTCCACTGATTTGCAAAATGGCTGGAACACATAGAAATGTTTCAAAGATCAATTTATTCATGCTACAGAAAAAACTTCAGCGTAGTTTTAACTAGGAAAACCAAACATAATGGGAATTTGCTGCTAATACTGTCAGACATTCAAAAAAGTAAGAAATCTAGAGCAAATAACCTACCAGTTTATGAATGCATAATAAATGCAAAGAAGTACTTAAAGAAGGTGACAGAAAAACATAAGTTGGAATCTGAGAAATGTACGGTAAGACATGTTTTAGGAAACAACAATTTTTGTTCTGTACTAATGCTTAAATAAAATGGCTGTGCCATTTAAATTAATTTGTTAATTAGAGATTATTATAATTTTATTATGTAACAAAGTATTATTTTATTAATAAAATTTAGTAATGCAACATTTGATATTGTAGTATTTATTAATATCTTAATGACTTATTAATAATTTATTTATTCATTCATCTCAGTGTGTTTCTGTGTTCTTAAAATTTAGTGTGTGTGCACATGTTGAGTCCCCATCCCTGGAGGTATTTAAAAGACACTTAGATGTGGCATTTAGGGACATGGTTTAGTGGTGGACTTCGCAGTATTAGGTTTACGGTTGGACTCAATGGTCTAAATGGTCAAAGGTCTTTTCCAACCTAAATGTTTCTATGATTGTATGTACTGCTAACACATTATTTGAGATGCTAAAGATATAAAATTATTTCAGAAGAATGAAATCCATTACTAGACACCTCTGTCAAAAATATATTTACTGTTGAGACCTTTACATGTATAAAAATATTGTGTCCATTTTCTCTCAGAAAAACGTATCTAGGGTGTCACTTGATTCAACACATGTAAAAATCAAAGAAAATTGTAATACAGTTTCTTTCTATCCCGCCTGTGCATATTTATTAGCCCAACACATTCAAGAAGTCAAATGCCAATAAACTTAAGCTTCTGAACATGGACAGAAACAAATAGAATTGCTGACTATTTGCAGGTATGACTAATACTTTTGTCCAAAGTCTTGTGAAATGACTTTAAAGTAACTTCAAGTAAGTCACCATAGCTATATGATCACTGTATATCCTCTAAAATAGCAAGACAACTACAGTTTCTGTTACACGCCTAATCTAAAAAAAAAAACCCAGATAGAGAACAAGTAAATGTGAGCACCCCAAATTGTTTCATATCTTGCAGTCATCTTCCCTATGAAAGGAAGAATGAAAACTTAAAGCTACCAGTGTCAAAGACTTTGTGAACATGGATGCAACTACACATGTAACTGCTGAATAAAGAAACCAGCCATGCAATATTCCTGTGATTCTTACTGTTCAAGGGCTGAACATTCTCTGAGTATCTCATGAGATACCTGATGTGCAATGAGAAGAATTATCTGTACTTAACGAGGTTGCTGAAAAAGGGCAAGAAAAAGAAGGTATAAAGGCAGAAAGTAGAAGTGGGTTAAAAGAGCAATAGCATTTATAATACAGAAAAACCCTGAAAAAAAATGTTCTGTACTTCTAAGAATATCCATCAGTTGAGACCAAGAGAAGGTCTCGAAGTAATCTTCATCACTTGAGAAAAACCTGGAGATGAACAGCCTATCAATGGTAGAGCCAGCAACTTTGGAAAGAGTAGCTCCTGACTTTTCTTGTAAAGCGATAGAAATACCTTGTCTACCAACACTGTAGGAAGTGGTTGGATGGAAGAACTAAACCTAATTCTAATCCTTCTCAGGGATTAATATGAAGACTAATCCAATCCAGACTAACTAAAGAAAATATTACAGACTACCTAGTTTTCAACAAAACTCAGGTGTAAATAGATCCTGAACAATGAACTTGGTAAACCTGGGGCACAATCTCACAAAATGCTGAAGACTTTCTACAACCAGGCATTAATTTTTATTTAAAACAAGTTCAGATTGGTGAAAACTAGCATTTAACTAGCCAAGGAACTGCACTAATTACTGCAAACATACCTCAGTGCAAGCTTTAATAGTGAAAAATATAGGAAGACTTAATATTAATATCAGCGTATTATCCCCAAGAAAGCAAAAGTAAAGCTTTGGATTGGTTTTGTGACAACTGTTAACTAAAGCAGAGAAACACTTGACAAAATTCTGAATGTAATTTTGTGAAAGTGTTTTTTATACTAGTGAAAATTACACTTTTAAAGGGTTACTTTCAATGCAAACATTTTGGAAACTATAAAACCCAGAATATTGCAAAGTTGACATTAAAGAACAAAGAAGATTTTATATTTATTGCTAGAACCACTTCCTACCTGGCACGGTCCTCGGTATGCTAAACTTTTTCCTTTTTGGTACAAAGTGCACAAGTTAGTGTATTCCACATTGTCTGTGTCACAAACAGGATCCCGTGTCTGGTCACAATTTAACTGCCTTGGCACACATTCATGCTGGCTACATTCAAACTTTCCAAAACTAGTCAAGCAAACTTGTTTCTTTGGTATACACCTGCATAAAGTAACAATAATTTCATATCATGTCATAGGATTTTTTTTTTAACTCTCAAAAAATTCAGGGAAAATATTTTCAGTGAAATCTTTTCCAGTGCTTTAGAACTAACTGTAGTTCAGCAGAGCTGCAGGAAATACATGTGATAAAACATTCTGAATAGCCAATTTCAGGTCTCATCACAAACCTGAAACTGGTTCACACCATGTTTAGTCAATGTATGTGAACACAACTACCGTTTCCACTAAAATTAGTCTTTCACCAAGCATTTTTCAATGGATTTTGGAAAAAGGCTTGGATAAACTTCTTACCAACTCCCAAGGGTCATATCGTAAATACATATTTAAGGAAAACTAGAGAAAACATGAAAACAGTGAACTGTGGGAGAAAAATATTATATTGCGGAGGTCTAGCCTCACCCTTCCTGGAGAAGGTAGTGAAAAAAAGACTTATAAGACTATATGGTTTCAATTACAAATATCGAACTGGATTCTACCTTTGTAGGTTCAGTATATTATAGCACATTCAATCTTGGGGATAAACGGAAAAATCTAGTATTAAGACCATTTCCCTTTTTGGCACGCCATCCCTCTCAAGACTTCACAGTTCCATGGTCTTATCTGCAAAACATTTGCCATATGCCCTGCAAGACCTCCCTCTGCTAGCGAAATGCCAGCCAACAGAGTTTGATGAATAGACTGATGAAAGGTCAAATGGCTTTTTTAACTATCTCCTGCTTCTATAAATGACAACAATGCTACTGCTGGATTATATACAATACATCCTTATTCTCTCTTGAGTGCTGCTGTCCTACGCATCACACTTTTTCCTTTTATATTAGGGAAGAATCAGAAATTCTGAGATGTAAACACTTTAAAAGTGGAATGCAAGATCTTAAATAAATTCTAAGCACTTCAGAGATATTTTTAAATGAGCGCATTTAGTTTATGCTATGTTATCAAACTGACCCAGAAAAATGTAGTTTCAGTAAAGGATGGTACACAATACAAGTTGAGGTTCTAAGCATAATGGTTATTCCATAAAACTGAAAAACCTCCCTATACTTTCCAAATTAAAAATATAAAAGGTAAAAGGTGTATATCCACAATGCAGCTTTGAAATGCCATAATGGCTATTGCAGCTGCAAAACTAGTGTTTTCCCTGCAGTTTTCTTCATCAAGGCATTCAAAGTGCAGAAAAAGAAAAAAAAAATTGCTATAATCAGTTTTCATGAAAGCACAGTATTACACAACATCTTATGGTGGTTTTCTTTCAAAACAGAAAAATGTACAGATTCAAAGGAGACTGCAGTATTGCACAACCTTGAGAAAACTGAAGTCAGAAACCAGTATGATGAGCCACAGACTGATTTCTGTAAGAGAGGTCAGATTTTCTTTTCTCTTGACTCTAGTACAGAGCATATTTTTGTTTTGTTCATCTATACAGATTTTGGTTTTTCTGACCCTGAAAAAAAGATTGTACAGACATGATTTTCCAAATCTTGAATTCAGGTGTGGGGTTTTTTTTAACTACTAGAAGAAGGTGTGAAACAAAGCAGTAAAATGACACTTACTGTCATTTCAACAAAATCTGATTCTCCCATTTTTGAAAGTATACATCAGTTCTCTTTTATTGCTAAAGCTGAGATCTGCATAATGAATTTAAACAATACAGCAGTACATAAACAGAACCAAGAATTGGCAATTATTACAGTCCATTACTATGATAAATAAAAAGTAGCTACTTCGAACAGTTATTTTTATTGGAGTACTCCAAAAGTAGAGTGTTACTACAATATACAAGACATTCATGAATAGATGATGCCAAAGAAAAGCTTAAAAACATATTCTGTTTTTACCTCTGATTTTTATTACAAGGGTTAGGGTTACAAGGATCCTTGGAAATGCATGATCCAAATTCAAATTGATTGTCCTGGAGCCCAACACAACGAGCTATACATGCACTTGGATACGTGCGTCCATTTTGACCACATACTGGTACAAACTGATCTACACAGTTACATGGTAAACCTGTAAAAGCAACACATGAAACAGGAATTTGGTGCACACTTACTTTCTATGACAGAAGATACATAAGGGGTCACTAAGATATCTTTGCCTTCCAGCAAATGCAAAGATGTGCCACATCTTCAGCCACTTCTTCCCCCCCATAATTTAGCAATGCTGTAGCACATATGCACTTACATGTAGTAGGAAGTTTGTGCCCTGCTTCCTTACCAATTTTACACAGCTTTCTCCATTTTTCCCCAATCTTCATATCTTGTCCCAGTGGCATTACCCTGTCTCTACCTATTTTTATATATTACCTGTGGTTTAATTTTTCAGTACTGATTTTTCTTTTAAAGGTATGTGTTTTTTCTGAAGTGCAGGTGGACATGAGAAAAATAAATAATTAAAAGAACATAACAAATTATCAGGTATTTTCCATTAATCCTGTAAAAAGAATTTAGAAGCTAATCCTTGTTCTAAGAGTATTAAGCTTAAAATTTCGGTAGTTTGGAAAGTTACCTGTAAACTTCTGACGTTCATCTTCTGAACTATGCTCAGTTAGACACTGACGCGTAGAACATATCAAGTTTCCAGCAAAACATGAACAGACATTACAATCTATATTAAAGGATGTTCCATGGCCTTAAAATAGAAGAAATTAAGTAAATGCACACAATTAATGCAAATATATTGGAAGACTATATCTTCATATGTATTACATAGATATTACATTTTCAATATTAATTGTTCCTGTAATTTCTGTAATCCAGTTTCTTTTTCCATGTAAAATTCTATCTTCTGTTAGTTTTCAAGATTTGCTTTATTCATTTAAAGAATGTCTGTTCACATGCATTTTTGATTAATTAAACAAGGAAGCAAGCACTTTATACTTTCAAAGCCTGTATAAGTTAGGTTTTCTTTTCTTTTTTTTTTTTTTTTTCAAGAACAACTTCAAGCTGCAAAAAGAAATACACTCATAGAACAGAACAAGTGGTAGCATAGTACTTCTGTAAGTTCTGTCCAGCAAGCTCCATATTTTTAAAGGTAAAGCTTTTGTAAAGATACGTTCTTCTCCTAAATTAATTGTACATAAGACTGCTAAACTTTCAGCCATAATATTACACACAATGCAGAACTCCTCTGTAGTGCTCATTTCTTCCCTTTGTGTGTACTTTTTGTCAAGAGGCAAAAAGTGCCAATGCTTCATCCCAGTCTTCCTTGTTTTGTAACATCCATTACAGTCTTAATTTCAGCATCAACATTAAGTACAAGTTACAATGCAGCTTTGTCCAAAGCAGGTATCAAGGAAGATTGTAGCAAAGCTGAACAGAAACCCAGATCTAGATTCAGCACAAGACACACAAATACAGAGGTCTATGTTCACCCACTGGCTTTCAGAAAGGAGCCATTAATAATGCAGCTGACACCATCACAGCTGCTTTTTCAGGATGGAGCAATCTGCCTGATCTTTCCATTTTATGTCAGCAACTTTTTCACACCCGAATCTAAGAATCAAACTGCAAACTTCGGGAATTTTTCTTCAATTTAGCAATTCCAGTTTGGTTTTGTGAACTGTACATGTGACTGTCCTTCACTGTGCTGTATGTATTATGTAAAATCAATTCATACTGGTGACATGGTGCTGATCTATCCATAACCAGGTCAGTTATTAAAGACTACCAACAAATAGACAGTTCTTCAGGAAAACGTAAGAGTAACTGTGCCTTACAAAATAAAGCAATTCTCTCTGATCTCTTTTCAAAGGGTTGAGATTAAGGATTAGATTTTTTGAAAAATATTACAAGAGCACAAGGAAAATCCTCAGCATTTGAGCATTTCAGAAGATGTACTCCTAGACAAATGGTGGTAGAAAAAGACGGGATAGAAGAGAAAGTCTCTGCAGCCCAAAAAGCTCTGTTTAAACCACAGTACTAAACAAGGAAGAAGGAATTTGTCAGCAGGGAGTAAGAAAAGTTTCCCAGAATTGAAGGTAATGCCAAACACAGGATCTCTTAGGTGAATCTTCAGAGCAAAGAGTAACTGACTTAGGATCCACTTGAAAACTTTGCAAGACTATTGGCTTTCACTATCAAAGAGTTCACACAGCAAACCGTCCTCTTCAGCAGTAGTCACTTCATAACTGCAGTCAATTCACAACACAAAAAAACCTCAGCATCAAATAAAGCATTCAGGGTTGTTTGGTTTATAAAGAATAGTTTTGAAAACCACAGTTCAGGTGTTATGGCTAAACCTAGCTTTTTGCAACTGACATAGAAACCAATTAAATATAGTAAATACAAAAAGTTCATATGGTGACTGTAAATTTTGAATGATTTGTTTTTAATACATCATCTAACAGATTTGGAATTTAGTACTATTTTTTATTTTATAATACCTAGAGCCTTAATCACCACACACACTTAATGAGTAATTATGGCAAGAGAGAGGAAGCTGCCTGGTTTTGGTTTTGTGGTGGTTTGTTTTGTTTGTTTTTTTAAATGGACAGCACTTACTGAATACTGAATACCTACCGGCTACACATATTGTCATAGTCACTGCAATTGACAGCTGTACACTGTACAAAGGTAAAACACAAATACAACTTCAAATATTTTTGTGATTGTTTTCACCAATAATCCGAAAAAGGGCAAGTTTCTTTGGACAGAATGGTCCATAAAAGGTTTCAGTTGCCATTTAAAGAATATATTTGCTAATGACTATTTAAAAAGCACTTACTTTCACCAGATACTTTCTATAACTGCCCATCAAATATATCATTAAAATGTTTCCAGTGTTCTCCTTCCACGAAACAAATAGTATCAATTTGGCAATACAAAATAAGTTTTAAGTGTGTTTGGCTGACTTTTATCCGATTTGGATGAACAAAAAAAAAAAAACAAAAAAAACCAGAACACAAACCAAAACATTGCAAGCTGTAAATGCATGGAACATTACAGGCAGGCTTTCCTGAATGATGAAAATAATTGTGCAATTGATTATTTAGATCTGCTTGGTATCTTTTAAGAGAAAGAAATATCCCAATTACCTCTCTTTCATGGTTTCAGGGTTTGGTTCACAACCAGAAAATTACGTTTGTGACAAATGTAATTAGAACAAGTGCCTTGCTTCTTAAGATTCACGAAATGTGAAAATAACTCTTTCTTATTACATGATAAAAAAGTGACTCAGTTATTTTAGACTTATTAGGTATCTCTGACTTGCTTTAATTATGCTTGGACTTCAGTCTGACAGTATTTTAAAAGGGCTGATTTACAGACACTAAACAATATACAGTGCTGAAGTATGTTAATGTTCACTAGCAGAAAAGCTCTTGTTTGCTGACTGATTCAAAGACATCAGCTTCACACAGATTACAGCTCAGCACAGACTCCATTTTATATTCAAGACATTCTGTAAGATTTTCCCTATCATAATAGTAGCTTTTTATTTTGTTTTCTTTTTCAAAGAGCACAGTGCCGGTTTGCATGACTAAAATACACCTTTAATACTCTCAAGCAATTAATAAATTTGAAAATAAATCATTATCGACTTTCAAGAAGCATCATTTGTCAAGTCTCTTTCAACTACTTTGACTGCCAGATTAGGTAAAAGCCAATTAATGCTCGTTACCCATGCCAATTTAATCTCTGAAGAGTAACAGTAAAGTTATTTTAGAAAGTGAGTAATTTAAACCTAAGTAAAAAAAGAGATAGTTAGCATTCTTTTATTGTTAAAATAAAAAGCTGTTCATCTTACAGTTAACCTGGCAGAAGGAAATCAGCATGAGGTCTACATCTACCACACTGAGGAAGACTTTAAAGAACCACAGTGTTCAATATGCCTTTGTTACCTGCTTACATGTTCATTTTTAAGCATATGTTAGCCCTATTGCTTAATATGTTAAACAATAATTTTTATTAAATATTAATTTTGTTTAAAAATTTTGAAAGTTTTTTTCTGAAATGCATAGGCTGCTTTTGATACTTAATTGCAGGCTATGAAGGTTTCAAAGAAATCCAAGTGCAGAGGACAGTCTATGACAGGTGTGTATTTCTAACGTGTTTGTACATATTAGCAGAACAGTCTTTTAAACACTTTTTTTAAACCATTGTCCTTGGTGTGAAACCTACCAACATCACTAAGTAAAAGAAACTCCCTCTCCAGAATGCCATTTGAACTAAAACAGCATCATTGCCTAAGGATCAGATTGACTATGTGATGCCAAGGGAAGAGAATTTTGGGATTGTGCAAAGTTTATTATGAGATGCTTAGAGGAAGGACCAAAAATGAGGAAAAGGAGGAATTAAGATGGATTAAGCAGGAAGATGCATAGGAAAGCAGAGGAAAAAGGGGAAAAAGGGAACAGCTGAGTGCAAACAGGTGGCTGGTCAGCACACTTTTCTGACTGAATCCTGCACTTGATCACCACAATCTCTACTGTATTTTTATTCAATCCTATTTTTATATTCTGTGTGCTTCCTGCTCTGAATATGTGCATGAATGCTAACAAAGTTTAAGCTGGGTAAATCAATAAGTAGGATAAGAAGTCACCGGAGTGGAAACATAAACCTTGTGAGCCCATGGGTCCAGATGCCACCAGCTCTGGGAGACTGGCATCTAGGGGGCAGCTCAGCAGAGAAACTCTTCACCTAGGGTGTGCTACTGGACAGAACTCTATTCTGTGTGCCTGTACTTCATTAGTGGGCTTCATTTCTAATCAGCAGCAGAACAGGAAGAGGTTTGGGCTATATGTGCTCTTCATGTTTGTGTTAATGCTGTATGTGTTTATGTGGGTGCTGATAACAGCACCAATTTCTGTCTGTGTTTATCAGTGCAGCTGGCCATGCTAGCAGCATGGGTATATGTGCGTGCGCACAGCTCTGTGCATGTGTCTATTGGGAATACATCCAGTGATTACTGGTTTTGTTCACTGCCAATTCAGACATCAACAACTATTTTGTAAAACTAGTTTTATGCGACTTTTACACCTACGGCTAGCTTTGTGGTAGGAGGGAGGACGACCAACCAGTGAACACCTGATCAATACACGAAAGAACCACTCAGAAGATAAGTCAACAACAGAAACAGAAAGTAGAAGATTTTCTTGCATCCCTGTTCCCTGCAGAGGAGGTTAAAAGTCTAAGCTGAGTACCTTCTTCACAGGCTGTTAGAGAACCTGCCTCAGACGCAGCTCTTGGACAGACAAATGACTCTGCAAGTCCAGAAACATTGACCAAAAACCTCCAAATGAACACAGGTGTGAAATACCTGCTAATGTAAGTGAACTTATTTATAATGTCTTGCTTTGAACTTCCCCAGGGTTTGGATACTGATGCAAGTGGCTAAAATATCTAATTTTTTTTCTAAAAGGCATTCTGTGGACAATAAAGATATGTAAAATTAATTTCGCACAACACAAATGTGGTAAAAGTTTAAAAATTTGCATCGGTGGACACATACCTAAATATGACACACTCGGGGAAAGAATCAGTTTTTGTGCAAGTCACAAACCAAATCTTTCAGGTTTATCAAAAGGAGTTGATAAGCATGTGGACAACATAAAACCAGGCTGATACTCAATACCCAACAGATCTTTAATAGCTTTCAAGAAAAAAAGTAGACATAGGGAAAAAAAGTGTTCACATGGATAAATGTGAAACACAATAAATGGATGATGAAAGGAGGTCACTGGAGGAGTCTCCATGATACTGTGACTGTTCTGTTCAGCATAATTTATATGTGATCCAAAAAACAAATGCAAGTATTTTCATGACAAAGTCTCAAGAACATTAAGGTACAAAGGACCAAATAATGAAGAACTGCCAGAAAACCTCACTTCACTGAGCAACTATGAAGGGATATAGCAGAGGAAATTAGTTGTAGTGAACATAAAGTGATTCTCTACAATTCACACAATGAGCTATGAGTTGACCATTTCCACTTAAGAACTGGACCATGGCATTACAACAGACAGCTCTGGGAAAGCAAGAACTCAATAGAATTAGTAGCCAAAAAAACGATAATGTTCAGAATACTTATGAAAGGAACACAGTTTTCCTATTACATACACTTGATTGGGCACTTGACTGTGAATGGTGCATAAAGGTCTAGTTCCCATTTCAAAATAAAACCTAAGAACTAGAAAAAGGTACACAGTAGGGTAATAAATATGACCAAAAAATATACAACTGTTTTCATAAAAGCAATGATTAAATAAAACAGGAACTGGCTTGGAGAAAAACCCAGAAAGCTGAGGGGAATATGACAGAGGTCTGAAATAGGAGATAAATAGGCAACAATCATTTACCAGCTTTTTCAGTATAAGAACTAGGATTAATCTCATGAACTAAGAGGAATCAGATGAAACAAACTATCAATGCTCAAATTAAAAGAAACCCCTTGCAAATCCCACCAAAAAAAAAAAAAAAAAAAAAAAAAGAAAAGAGTTTTTTAGGCACACATATCTTAACATGTGGAACCTCTTTCAAGAGGTTATAGCTCATGATAAAAGTTTTTGACTTTTTTTTAACCCATATTTAAAATCCATGGAAGAAAACCAAACCCAATGGAAATCGAAAACCCCCAAACCATTTGGGGCTAGTAAAGAAACCATCCTGGCTCAAGGGGTCTGTGGTTTGAAGCACAGAACAGATTCTGGTAGAAAATTCATGGAAAGGATGCCTTTTCTCATACCCTTCCCTAGACACCTCTATTGGTCACTGGATATCCAGTGCTGATAAAAATAGACTAAGAGTACCCACAAAGTTGGAATCCAGGAAATGGGCAGTCACTTATAGTTAATTACACTGTGCTTAAACCGTAGAACTACAGCATGCTTAAAGCAGATCAATTTGTTTTGCTGTTGTTGCTTCATCCCTGCTGCCTACTGGCTCCTCTCAGAACTTTTTCCCTCCTCAATCCTCAGAGCTCCCACCAGCAAGTTCTTCTACCAGAAAGGAAGCTACCTATTATCAAGGACCATAAAAATACAGGGGATGTGAGGCAAGTCAGTGACCTTTTGGTTGAAAAATGGTGTTCTAAGAACGCACTTCACACAGCACTTTCATTGGTTGAGACAGACACAGTTCAGTTGATTTAAATTATGGAACCCTCCAGCATATACAAGAACTAAACAAGTAATATGTATATATGGAGGCAAACATTAACTTTTGTATTTTCTGATAACTCTGCATTCAGATCCTGACATGTACCTCAAAATTCATTACTTAAGGAACAGGCACTGTATAAAGATATAATTACTGTTCTGATACTTACTTTTTCTTTGTCCTCCAACAATGCATGATTTTTGGAGGTCAACACAATGCATTTCCATACAGTTTTCTAGCAATCCACTGTGTCCACAGGTACAAATCTTGTAACAACCAATGTCACCAGCTGAGGATGGAACCTGAATAAGTGTACCTTGACGGACAATGAAATCTGAGGCTTCTCCCAGTTTGCAACCTATATACAAGGAGAATTTTTAGCTCATATCTAGTAAATGCTTTAGGAAGTGACACTACCAAAAATAACTACTGCTCTTAAACTTGTGAAAAAGCGAAGGTGTTCCTAAAGCAGCCTTGGTCTTGCCCTTTAGACAAATTCACTCATTTCACAGAGGCAGCTAGTAGCAGAAATAGAAATTACTTGCTTGAGACAATGTTCTGAAGTACCTGTAGAAATGTAATTGCAAAGAAAAAGACTGGTAATTCCAACAATTATCAAGTAATCTTATTTTCCATGGTTGTGTAGCAGTATGAAATCTATGTGATGAAACAAATACCACATACGCTTCGCTCTCTCCAATACACAAACTGAATTAAAGGGTCTCACAAGCAAAGCCCAGTCATTTCCCCTCATTCTCTTGAGTATTTTGTTTCTTCCTTCCCTACTTGTACTTCTTATGTGAAGACTGAAGGACTCTTATAGATAGACATGAAGAGAGGAGAAAGGGAGAAAAAGCAGAAAAACTGGATTTAAAAAAGAATGGAAAAGAAAATTGGTTTTAAAAATTGCAAGGAAACAGTAATAAAAGAAACAGTAGATTAAAACTACCCTACAAGTAACAAACTGCAACAAATCCCCCCAAACTTTCAACCAATAAAAAGACTGAATTCAAACATAAAAGTCACCTTCCAACCCTTAGAGGAAGTAAACTGCCTCTTCAAAAAGCTCTGTGTGAGCTTGTTTTCAGATCACTTTGAATGACTTTTGCAGCAAGTGAAGACAATACAACCTCTATAGTAATAACGCTCAGCTTTTCATAAAAACAAAAAAAATTAACCCAATGTCCCTAGACTCACAAAAAGAATGAGTTGAAGTTTACCATCACTTTTAGAAGAGCACAAGTGTAGCAGATGTAAGAGTACAGCAAAACCCAGTAATCTGTAATTAAAAATCAGAGAGTGGAGAAACTGCAGATAAGCCACAGAATTGCTGGAACAAAAGAGGCTCAGGGATCTGATCCGAGACAGTTACATCAATGTTCTCCACCACTTCCTCTAGAAAGGAGACTGCTTCATACAACTCAGTTTAAAAATCAGTGTTGCTCTCACTTGCTCAGTCTCTCTCAACACATGCATTCAAGTGGTCACCAAATGGAAGCTTTCCTCTTTGATTTGGGAGAGACACAGAGCTAATCTGCCTCGTGGTTCCACCTTTTTCTCCAGTCAATGAACTCATAGCGCTGTCAGTCATTAAAGATGAAGTGCAGAGATGCTGCATCAGTGCTGCGAGCTCAAATAGTAGAGAGAAGAAAGGAGAGGCAACTAAATTCTGTGCCATGTCAGTTCCTTCCCAAGCCCTAAACCTAGGCACTCTGAATCCAGTGAAGCAGCAACAGTGAAGCTCTTAAGAAAAGGTGTGGGTATTAATTTACTCAGACCAGAATTAGTTACCCATGAGCTGCTGGAGAGATTTTGAGAAGTTGACCCGGCCAATGAAGAAGGATTTGGGACAATTCCATGTAAGATACCATCTTGAACATTAATATAACACTGGAATTGCCGCCAATGGAAATCTACATCCCAGGGCGCCCTGGCATTTGATTAGCTTCTCAGAGCTCTCAAAATGTCCTCCCTCAAGGCTGACAGCCCAACTTTCATTTATTTCAAGACAAGACATAATGTCCATTTATTTCATCAGTACAGAAAATAATATGGATATGGCTAATAATGTATGGAAATACAGGGCAATACATGTCATGGTGTCTGCAGAAACAGAGCTGCACTGTATTTGCAGTATTGCATGCTTGTAATTTTAAATAACAGGCAGGCTGCTTAGAGACGATGTAGGGACATATTTCTTCCGAGGCAAAGTAAGTAACATATCTTCTAATAAGATGTTATGTTTCAGTGGACAATAAAAATAGAAACACATCAAGAAACAGAAAGAGCTAGAAGGTAGGCTACAGCTTTTGAAAACACAAGGTAATTGTGATAATAGTCCTTTTGGGATATCAGCAATTCGCTTCAAAACTTTCAACAATATTTCAGTAACATAAGTTTATCAGCAAAATTCAGGTCAACAGAAGCCCCAAACCCCTTACCTGGCACACACAAATATGGAAGACACAGTTCTCCAGACTGACATCCTTTTCTATTTACTTCACATAACAGATTAGCTGCACATGGATTCGGATTACATGGATGTGTAACATCTTCTACAATGTTACCTAAAGAACTTGGACCTGAAAACAGAATATACAGTATCTATATTGATTTAAATGAGGTTTATTTTTCTTCAGTAAAATATGTCATTTCTTACATTCAGTAAAATAATGTTTTTGACAATTCTGTGAAATATTTTTTATTTTTTTAATTATACTTGCAGAAGCTTTACATGACAAGGTAGTTAACTTATTTCAAAAGTTTAGTCCTCAATCCCAGAGATAAAGACCCAGATGATTCTTCACATGCAAATTATATTTCCTCTATCTTGTTTCCCCAATAATTTTCTCTCTATGACAAAAATACAAACTGACAATGACTGTCAGTTTAATCAAGACAAGTCCCACAGTCAATAATTAACAAATAAACAAATTGGAGGTTTAAAGTACACTTGATGTTTAACCAAGGTTGCTATCATTTCTAAAATTTTGTTTCTGTTTTCCTTTAAACTCACTAGTAATGTTCTCCTGTTACAAGACTAAGGAAAGGGAAGACAACATGGAAAAGCAGCAGCTAAATGGAAAGAACCACCCAAAGCTTCTCTCTGGGAACAATTTCTTTGCTGAGGCATGCTTTCAGTTGCAGCTCCTACTAACTAAAATTCTACTATTTTCAAAAGTTCCCGTGATTCTGAGAAAGAAATATAAAAATTTAATTTGGAAGAAGGTCTGAAATGGATAAATCCTGTGAAGTTAAATAGATCTAAACCCTACAGAGATAAATATGCAATAGGAAGTAGTAATAGGGTAGAGCACATTCGGAAAATACATTTAAATGAAATTTAGAAAAAAGATTAATTTTTACTAATACTATCATAACATCTTTATCAATGTCCTGGACAAAGGGATTGAGTGCACCCTCAGCAAGTTTGCAGATGACACCAAGTTGGGCGGGAGTGTTGATCTGCTTGAGGGGAGAAGGGCTCTGCAGAGGGCCCTGGACAGGCTGGGTCAATGGGCTGCGGCCAATTGTATGAGGTTCAACAAGGCCATGTGCCGGGTCCTGCACTTTGGGCACAACAACCCCATGCAACGCTACGGGCTTGGGGAAGAGTGGCTGGAAAGCTGTTTGGCAGAGAGGGACCTGGGGGTACTGGTCAACAGCCACACAAATATGAGCCAGCAGTGTGTCCAGGTGGCCAAGAGGGCCAACAGCATCCTGGCTTGTATCAGGAATAGTGTGACCAGCAGGAGTAGGGAAACCATCCTCCCCCTGTACTCAGCACTGGCGAGGCTGTACCTCAAATACTGTGTTCAGTTTTGGGCCCCTCACTAAAAGGACATTGAGGTGCTGAAGCATGTCCAGAGAAGAGCAGTGAAGCTGGTGAGGGGTCTGGAGCACAAGTCTGATGAGGAGCGGCTGAGGGAACTGGGGTTGTTTAGGCTGGAGAAAAGGAGGCTGAGGGGAGACTTTATCGCCCTCTACAGCTACCTTAAAGGAGGTTGTAGTGAGGTGGGTGTTGGTCTCTTCTCCCAGGTAACAAGTGATAGGACAAGAGGGAATGGCCTCAAGTTGCTCCAGGGGAGGTTTAGATTTGATATTAGGAAAAATTTCTTCACTGAAAGGGTTACCAAGCGTTGGAACAGGCTTCCCAGGGAAGTGGTCAAGTCATCATCCCTGGAGGTATTTACAAGATGGATAAACAAGGTGCTTAGGGACATGGTTTAGTAGTGGAGAGGTACAGTCGGACTAGATGATCTTAAAGGTCTTTTCCAACCAAATGATTCTATGATACCACACTGAGGGATAAGACATGCTAGAAGAAAACAGAATCACAAAAACTTAATTCTTCCACATACCTACTAAACCCATGTTCTATCGCCCCAAGTGTTAATTTGTCTTTTGGCTATTGTACTTTCACAGTTAAAGAACAGAGTTTATGCATCAGGCAAAAGTGTAATTTTGTACATCAAGAAGTTGTGCTCTAAATCATACTATTGTTTAAGTGACATTTATTTGAGACCAGTCCTCCCAAGCATGATCCAGCTTTTGTCCAGTAAATACATAGTGCTAGTGGTTTTATTGTTGTAGTACTACTTTGGCATGTGAGATGACTTCTTGAAGAACAGGGTTTTCTTAAAGTAAGATTAACTAGTCTATTTTCAAGTAGGTAAAAATCGTTGAAATTCAACAAGCCAGATTATTAGATGATACAGATTTGTGTGCTTGCACTGAATAAAGTCACCCAAAGAGAAGTGTGGTGGGTTAGCCTTGGCTAACAGCCAAACTCCCACCCAGTGCCCCAAGCCCAAATGGGATGGGGATAGAAAATAGGTAGAACAGGAACAGAAAAGTTCCTGGATTGAGATAAAGACAGGGAGATTGTGTAAGAATTACCATCGCAGGCAAAACTGACTTGATTTGGGGAAAGCTAACTAAATTTATTGCCAATTAAAATAAATATCTAATTACAGATTCAGGTAATGGGAACAAAAAGACATACATTACAGCAACTTTTTTCTTCCTCCCTTTAACAGGCTCACCTTCAGTCCAGATTTCTCTGCCCCTGCCCCAAGTGATGCAGTGGGAATGGGATCGGGGGTGATGATGGTGACTATGGTCAGTACACAGCAGTTTCTGCCACTCATTCCTTGTCACACCCTTCCTCTGCTCCAGCATGGGGTCTCCACGGGCTGCAGCTTCCTTCAGGGTATACCCACCTGCTCTGGCATGGGGTCCTCCACGGGCTGCAGCTTCCTTCAGGGTATATCCACCTGCTCTGGCATGGGGTCCTCCACAGGCTGCATTCTCTCCTCCTGCTCCTTGGTGCTACCTCAGCTGTTTCTCACCCTTCCTGTTCTCCTCCACCTCTCTAGAGCTTTTTGCCCCTTCTTAAACCTGTTTTCACAGAGGCACCGCAAACTTTGCTGAAGTGGCTCAGCTTTAGCCTATAGTGGGCCCAGTGCTGAGCTGTCTGTGTCTGGCAGAGTGCAGTCCCTGACATCTTCCAGCACAGCCCCTGAAGGCTCCACCGCTACCAAAACAACCTCACCATGTATACCCAATGCAAGAAGGAATAAACGTAATGAGCTATGGCAATTTGAAAAATCCGATTTCTTCTAATACAGAAAATAAAATGTCTCAAATTCAACACAATTTTCTTTAAAAGAAATAAAGTTACTAAAAGCAATGATAAGCATTCAAAGTATCTTGGTTCCTAATTTTGTTGCATAGGTATGTTGATACTTACTCAGGTATGTATCCAAAGGGATACAGTTCTCCAAGTCATCTGTTGGAGATAAGAGCTCACAAATACTTTCAGCTGAGTGTCCTTCAGGGAATTTATTATGATCTCCACATTTCTTCAGTATTTCCACACAATCTGATCTTCAGATAAATAAAGAAACAGAACTTTGTGAATACTTGAAGAAAAAAAGTCTTGTATGAAAAAGATTTCTTTCCACATTCTTACCTTCCCCAAATACACAACTTTCTCCTTCTGCCTCACAACAGAGAGTTTATATGTGTATGCATGCTACATTTTACATACAGGGGGAGGAACAGATTTGTGACACAAAGACAGGAACTATAGCTTACACTATTCTTCCTCTACTTTGGGCTCGGTGATCTTTATTTTCTATGGCATCATATGCATGTATGACCAAGCATTTCCTTGATTTACTAATGTCTAACATGGGTTGAACTCTATCTCACTACCTGTACCATTAACTGGTCTCTTTTCTACCCAATCATCTACTTTCAAAATTTATTTTTTTAAAAAATAAACTACTTTTTTTTCCAGACCTTTCTGTCAGCTGAAAGTCACCAGTAGGTCCCAAAACCAAAAAAGAAGAAAGTTTTTATAGATGCCCTGGAGAGCCAAAACCCCCCCAAACCAAATCAATTTTACAATGGAAGCATATACATCCATCTCAATAACAAGGAAGCATCTTCCATTTACAGTGATGGAGATTCAAGCATTACATGTTTGTCTTGCCATATTTTCCTAACCCAAGTCAAGCACAGTCCTACAGCAGCTTTTTAGTTCTCATTAAAATCCTTAGCAGAACCTCTAAACTGTTTTTTTTCCCCCACAGTACTTACTTGCAGATAATACTTCCTCTAGATTTGCTGTGGCAAGGTTTAATCTGCAGTGAGCAGGCAATTGCCTTCCACATTTCTGGCTGGCATTTTTTAATATCAAGCACAGGAATATTTATAAATGGCATCTTAATACTCCCTTTTTCCCATAGCTTCATGTCATTCATGGCTCCCTGGTCTGACTGAGTATTGCAGCTCCTAAAAAGTTCTGTTGGTCTTAAAAGAAGAAATTAAGATATGGCATGCATACAAAAAAAAAGAAAACACCACAAATTATACCTTTCACTGTATGAATTCTACAAACTTCACGTGGCTTGCTTTTTATGGTATAAAAGAAATTACTCCCTTCCACAGTTAAGCAAGATCAAAATCAATTTCAATTCTCTCTTCTAAGGAAAATAAGCTCTTTAAGACTCAAGGCTGAAACTCCCTTCTCACTTCTACCTCTTGGATCAAATATCACTTACATTTTTCTCACCTTAAAAGAAACTTAAAAGAAAGTATCTTAGATATCCTGAACATCTGTGCAAATGTTTCTTGGTGAATCACTAATGCAAGCTGATTTATCATTTATATTTGCCCAGGCTGCACCTATCACGTATGTGATTCATGTAATGCTCATGCCACTGTATACTATTTCAAAGAAAAGCCAGAGATCTCTAACAAATTTTTAAATTATTTTTTTAAGTTCAAACTATTTAATTTGTAACCTTGCAATTACCAATTCAGACATGACTTCTAAATCATGCATTTTGTCCTATAAAGTATAAAACCACAGAAATATCTCTGAAAGAAAAGGAATTTTGAAAGAGAGTAACACGCAAATTTAACATGAATTTTTACCTTATTTATAATACACAACATTCCAGTAATCATGGCTTATTTGTCTATACAGTACGTATATGTCTATATAATATGCTGCAAATTACATGATGACATCTTACAAGTTCATGGGTTAGCTTTTATTCTTTTAAGTTTTGCTACGGCTATTGTTAAATACATTTTCAAAAGTTTATTCTGAAGAAAAACTATTTATTTTTAAATTATCTAAAAAAAATATTTGCAGAAGACAGCTACATACAATCTCAAAATAAGCCTGAAAAACATTTTTATTTTATTTTTTTTAAAATCAAAGCACAGGAATTCCTTTATAAAATATTCAGTGTCTCTCTCCTACCTGTTATTAAAATTAGTGCAGTAAGAAAGATTTCTACAGCCCAGCTGACAAGGTTCTCGTACATCTGCTAAACAGGTCAACATGGAAACTTCAACTGCATTATACTCACAAAAGCGATCAAATTCTTGCCAGCTCTGTGAATTGCCCCAGCTCGTGCTATAAAGTTTAGTGCAGAGCTCTCTGGAATAAAAAAAATAAAAAATAAAAAATAAAAAATAAAAAAAAGAGAGACAAAGAAAATAAAAAGAACAGCACTTGTTCAGAGCAGAGCCTATCATTTCTTTGCTGATCACAACAGCCTACACTCACTGTAGAAGATTGTGTTAGTGCCCACAAAATCTGCAAGAGTATCCAAATGTTGTGCTCAAAGCAAATAATCCCACTTCACTGTTTTCTAAGTTTTCCAGTTTTGCTTAAGAATGCTAGCAAATCTTTAAGCTAGTGTCCTGCTTAGAGTTAACTTTCTTCCTAGTAGCTGGCATAGTGCTGCATTTTGGATTTAGGACAAGAAGAATGTTGACAGCACACTGATGTTTTAGCTGTTCCTGAGCAGTGCTTACACTAAAGTCAAGTATTTTGCAGCTTCTCATACTGGCCTGACAGCAAGGAGGTTGGAAGTGCACAAGAAGCTGGGAGGGGACACAGCTGGAAGCTTACCCCAACTGACCAGACCAAAGGGATATTCCATACCATATGATGTCAGGCCAAACTGGGGGGAGTTGGCTGGGGGGGCAGGTTCACTGCTTGGGAACTGGCTGGGGTCCACTGCTCGGGAATTTGTCAGTGGGTGGTGAGCAATTGCATTGTGCATCACTTGTTTTGTATATTATTTTACCATTATTATTATTTTGCCTTCCTTTTCTGTCCTACTAAATTGTCTTTACGCCAACCTACAAGTTTTACATTTTTTCCAATATTCTCCCTCAGCTCACAGAGGTGGGAGTTGAGCAAACGGCCGTGTGGTGTTTAGCTGCCTGCCAGGTTAAAACATGACAGCTAGTAAGACTGAAATACTTCAGAATATAAAACAGCAATATCCAAGAAAAGTGTAATAGCTGGAAACCTGAACTAATGACTCTGAGATGAGAACTACTCCAGCTAATTTTACTTGTAATAAATCTAAGTTGACATGCTAATGAAGAACCTCTAATCCCATGCTTCAACCTCAGATTCTCCTCCTACAGAAATGACTGGCACGCAAAACATATTTCTTCTTTCACCCTGACGTGTGAAACAGGTGTAGTGTTTGTTGCTTGTGTTTGAGATGTTTCCTGGCATCAGCAATACCCAAACCACTTTGTTCACAGCAATATCCTACAAACTACAACTGTTCCTATCCCAGATAAAGGTATGGAACTTCACTGTACTATTAAAGTCTGCTGCATATTGAAAACATGAAGGAAGGATCCATTTGTAGAACTCATTGTCAAAGCAAGCAACTAAAAGGTATTATCAAAGGTATTATATATCAACTGCCCTATGTTACATTGTTCTAAGAAATAATGTAACTCCAGGGCTCTACTACTAAAACTCATTGTAAGTTGCATTCAGGATCTGTTGTTTTGCTACTGGAAACTGGTATAAAAGGAAGTAACAGCTCAAAAAACAATGTTTACAACTTATTTTGACATATTGATGCATTTATAATGCAATAATGATCTATTTTTAAAGTGGACAGATAACCGTTCTAAACAAAAAATGCTCCAATTACAGTTATTTGCAAGCGTGCAACTATTTGCTGAAAACCTTTTTTTTTAATGTCAGATTAGTTAGTTCCATTATTTAATTATTAAATAACCTAACTTATTTTCATTGACAAAAATCTGAATAGTATCCAGTAAGGAATACTGCTAAGGTTTTAATATGCAGCAACCAGGTACTTGAGAGTTTGTGGTGTTCGTTGTCCCCTTGGCTCTCTTTAGCATCTGGTTAAGGCCTCTTCATCTTGTTGCAATATTGGCTATTATGATCACAAGTAAGTCATAGGTTTAATTAACTTAGTGTGTCTGCTATAATAAGCCAGTGCTAAAAGTGAGAAAAGTGTGACCCCTCTTATGGAACAGTATTTTTTGAGATACAAAGTAAGTATTGGACAGAATGTGATACCCATCTGATTACATAACCCTGTATTTTTTCTAAGAATTCACAGAACCCTTTATTTGACATACATAGCAGGATTTGGGCAAAGGCCCAATGAGACAACTTCTGAAGCATTTTCACAATTGGAAATGAGGGTAGAGAGATACTGACCTACATGTGGAAGAATTTGCTTTAGAACAGCAATGGAGCTTAGCTCCATCGAGGCCTGTTGAAGGTGGAGGGTGCACAGTGACTCCTGGGTGAACAGATCTTGAACTCTCAAGAAAACATTGCCAAAGTGGATCCTGAGGGAGAGGCATTGTTTTACAGCCCTCTATAAGTCCATCAACAATTTCAAGCTCTGTTTTCATTGACATTAGAATTCTTTTACAAGCAGTCTGACATGCATAGTCTTCTGCTCTATCACAGCAATACAAGCCTGTTAAAAAAAATTAAAAATAGTTAATGATCAAGCATACAACAACAACAACCAAGATGCATGACATAATAGCCCTCAGATAAAGAGTGCTATAAGGAGGCTTCCCCCACCCACCCCAAATAATCTCGAATAACACTGCTTCTTTTAAATGCAGACAGAATGAAGTCTGGAAAAATCCACCGCTACATAGAATTAAAAAATAAATAAAAATCAGTAATGCACCTACAAAGTAAGTTATCATTATATAAATCTATATAATTACAATTTAGAAATACATTAATTCAATTTATACAATAGACTTACACAGTAACACATTTTATATAAAAAGTGCATACAATCCTCAAAACATTTGCAAGTATTTTTTATAACTTTCGGTAAAGGATTTTTTGTACTTACTATCTGTAGGATTTCTCATTGGATATGACTGTGTATAGTTGTTCACACAGTGTATAAGCTGAGGGCTAATAGATGCACAGTAATTTTCAACTGCTTTAATTTGTGAAGGACCAGGAGAAGAGTCTGTCCGAAAAATTGCTTGACAATATTCCCGACAGTTTGTATGATGACCTGCATAACTGCAACAGACTGACCCCACTAGGGAAACAAAGAAAAAAACAACAGAACATCTATGGGTTCCTACACAGAGAAATGAAGAAATGAGTGTCTCTACCACACACAGTGATGCTCAAGGTAGTACTGCAAAAAAAAAAAAAAATTAAGAAATTCTTCTGTGCTCTGTTAAAATAATCTCTGTTTACATAATGACTGGGAATATCTGTCACTAGATACGTTACATTTGTTTGTTTGGCTGGAGAAAAAAGTCCTTAAAGCCATTTTGAACTCAAGTTCAAGACACCAGCAAGCCAGCTGAATTTTATCTTCAGCTGTTTTACTCTTATTTAAGTTAACCAGACTTGTCCTATAATTGCATTATTAGACAAGTATTAATAGTAAACAAATAAATGAGGGGAGTATCCTAAAACTCATCCAAAAAATAGACAGATGGTATCATGATTGACCCATTTTTGATACATTATTAAATATACAGTTCTTGAGAAATACTTTTAGTAGAATTAGTTCTGAGACACTGATTTCATTTTATATAGACAGATATCAGGCAACGAAACACTTGCGTGGTGCAAGATTTCACGTATGCGTTTAACTGTTACTTAACACTCATTAAATGAACAAAGCAGAAGGAAAAAAATAAGCTTCTACACGATCATTAAAATAGGACAGAAAAAACAAATATATACACAGATTAAAAACTGATATAAATTATATGAACAGCCCAATCCCCTTATCACTTGAGTGGGAAAATTTATGCATGTGGTTTGTCCTTCTATGGAACTGAATCCATATGATTTGTGTATATGTACATCCATAGAATTTCTTACATTTTAGAGAAAAAAGGATAGAGCGATATAAAAGAAAAACAAACCCCCCAAACTATTCAGCACATACTTACTTTCATTTCTGTTAATACAACTAAAGAGAGCATTCTGAAATCAAAACAAAAATAGTGTTACAAGCCAGAAAATGTCAAATAAATACTTAAGTGTCCAGTCATTTCTTATAACGAGCTAATAAATCTAACTTTGTTATTATTTGCTCCAATTAGATTGGTTTAAATCAAAACCACTATAGAAAAACACTGAAACTAGGAAATTAAAGGATCAGTGGTCACCTGAGTTCTGTGCTCACTCGTAACAAAACAGATAAATATTCAAGCAAATAAATACAAAGACTTTCTTGGATGAACTCGGCAACAGCATGCTATAATAGGATGTCCCAGAATGTTGTTTGTTTGTTTGTTTTTAATGACAATATTTTTAAAGATTCTATGTGAGAAAAAGAATTCAGGACAGACGGATGCATGCAAATAGAAAATCCCAACAAACTAACTCCACAACAGTACACCTTAAAAGCTAAAGCATGCTATCAACTCCCTCAAACTGCAGCCAAAAGGTACAGTTAGGAGATACACAACATGTTAAATGACAGAAGGGAAATATATACACCTTGCTGTTTTCTTTCAGAACACTCTAATCCACAGACCAATCATAGAATCATACAGTAGTTTGGGTTGGAAGGGATTTTTAAAGGTTGTCTAGTCCAAACCCCCGGCAATGAGCAGGGACATCTTCAACTTGATCAGGTTGCTCACAGCCCTGTCCAACCTGACCTTGAATGCTTCCAGGAATGGGGCATCTACAACACTTCTGGGCAACCCCTTCCAGTGTTCACCACCCTCATAGTAAAAAATGTCTTCCTTGTATCTAGTCTGAATCTACTTTCTTTTAGTTTTAAACCACTACTCCTCGTCTTATCACAGGCCCTACTGAAAAGTCTGGCCCCATCTTTCTTATAAGGCCCCTTTATGTATTGAAAGGCTGCAGTAATGTGTTCCCAAAGCCTTTTCTTCTCCAGGCTGAACAACCCCAACTCTCTCAGCCTTTCCTCATAGGGGAGAATGCTCCATCCCTCCGATCTTTTTTGTGGCCCTCCTCTGGATGCGCTCCAACAGGTCCATGTCTTTCCTGTGCCAAGGACTGTGGAGCTGGATGCAGTACTCCAGGTGGGGTCTCACTAGAGCAGAGCAGAGGGGCAGAATCACCTCCCCCAACACTATTCATCTCTTGCCCAAAACAACCACAGTTTTCCCTACTTTTTTTGAAAAAGCACATTTTCTTAAAAAAATAGTTATCACATATAAGCTTTCCAGAACTCTGTGAAAAGATGAAGTCATGAGGTTGAAATTCCAAAATGTAGTTGCCAATTACCAAAGACTTTAAAATTATATGATTCTGAAAATGAAGGCAAATTTGAACCCCCTCCACACCTGTCCTCCACACTCATCAGAACACCAGATTATAAAAAGGGATCAAATACATTAACATGGTGACAAAACACAATCCTCATCTTCATAAAGTTCCTGATCTCCTTAATTTCCCTTATCCCCATCATTAAATAAATTTGTATTTTACACAGCATCTAAAGAACAAAATAGAAACACCGTCATACCGATCTACAAAGATATGGTGGGATTAAAATCTTGCCTCAGTACAACGAAATATCAGATGTGCTACTACGTCTACATAAGAAAAGGAAGAGACCTCAAAACGTAGACCTAATTTAAGCTCAGTAATGCACTAGATTCTTCATCTATGTTAGTTCTAGTATTTACTGCATTGCAGAGAAGTGGGTATCCCCAATAACCTTTGGGGTATTTTTGTGAAAATTTGTACTGCTGCAAACAGATGGAAGTGTTACATTTTTAAAGTGCAGAAAATACAAAAGTGTTAGGAATTGTCTTGATGTTTTTATTTTTGTCTTAGACATTGTTTGGAGTGCAGGAGTTTGTTTTTCAATTCATATTATCTACTTGCTTTACTTGCTTTCTTCTCTGAGATCATCTGAGTCAATTAATCTGTTTTGGCAGCATCCTTATTCCCCCCCCCCGGTAGAATTACAGAGAAAAATCAAAGTAAATATCAAAGTGATCAAATCCTCCAGTGGCAAACGCAAAAAACCACCAGTAACTACAACATCTGAATGCTGAGGATTTCCTCTCATGCAGCTTCCTTGCATTCAGTTACATTGAACAGGGGAGGGTAAATACAGAACATACCTCTGTTTACAAAGAGTGGCACAAACAGGGAGTCTCATCTCTAGTAGACGGCTTCAGTATATAGTCCACACTTTCTGCACCCTTCCCCTTACCTACTCACCTTCAGAGACATCTTAAAGCCTGACACCAGAATCAGTAAATGTTATAGAGTCCCAACTTCTAATTTTGTTCAAGTGCTACTCATTAAGCAGATGTATTCCACTAGAGAATTGGAGAATTCTACAATCCCACTTTCCTTTTTTATATTTTTTTCCTCATTAAAGTTTTCTAAGTACCCAAGTAAAAACATGATCTTTTTTAAAATGTTGTTCTTCATTTTCATGGCTATCCTCATCCTCTTTTCTGTTTTCTTTTAAGAGTAAGCACTTCAGAACACAGATTGGCTCTCTATACATGAATTAGCATTCAAATGAATTAGCATTTCTGCATAGACAGTTCTGATGAAAATCCGAAGAGCCAAAAGAATTATTTACTGTAGCAAAAGATGGAAGACTCACATTTTAACTTAGATTTGAAAAGCGCCAAGCTTTGATGTTTCAGTTTATATAATGCCATTAATAATTTTATTTTATGCTGTAATTTAAAATCACAAGTTCCAACTTGCCAATTCTTCTTTATGCCATGTAAATCATAGTGCCACAATCCTGTTTTCTACAGTCTCACAATTATATAATCTTTTGGATAATATATTTTTGGATAGTGAAATACGTTAACAGTCAAACATAAGACTTTAAAGAGGACAGTCCCAATACTGCAGTGAGCAGTGTCACTTTCTTCTATTTACAATGAGAAATTAATTCAAGCCTTGGGTAAACCATGGCAGATGTGACACTGAAATAATAACCTTAAGAGAATAAACACAAATCTAACTTGAAAATGCAAGTTAGTTTTCCATGAACACCAGCTACTAACAATTTTAGTGTTCGTGAATAAAAGCACGGGTCTATTGAGAACACCTAACAGAAATTCAAAAGTCTGCCTTACATAAAACAATGCCCAAAACCTCATGAAGTAACAATTTTGACATTTTATTTTCATTTTTCTAATATCCTCTACCAAATTTTAGATCTTTTATTCCAAGAGCACAGATACTGCCTAATTTCTCCAAGACTGAGAATTAATTTGGAGCAACATTCCTCATCCCAGAAGCATGTTTTCACTTCAGATTTTCCCTCTTCGCTACCCACAAAGCAAATCCTGCCACCCACCCATCTGTCTAACACAGATGAGGGACAGCAGAACTCATCGTAACAGAACATGCAGACAGAGTCACCATCCTGTATCTGTAAAGAACAGATTTATACTGCTGTCTAAAGGCCATGTCATTTTTATAGTACCATATATCCTTCTCTATGGATGCCAGGCAATGGTTATCAGAAAGTCTCTGTTTCTTTGGGACCTTCCATATATGAAAAGAGAAACAACTGTCAGATAGGAATCACTGTACACATCACTCTCACCCCAAACTGACTGTCCTTCAGAAGTTACTGAAATCTGACTTCTCCAGACCACCCTGTATCAAGCACTGGAACCTGATATACTAACCAGCCAGGTAGAAAGCAACATTGTAACTTCATTAATTAATGCACTGGGATAGTAGAGGCTCCTGAAAAGGCTGAAGTCTGTCTGTCATAGTTATACCCAAGTACTTGACCATACTGTTAGCACAAAGAATACTTAGAACCATGATGTAATGCTGCTATTAACTCAGCTGAAAATTGTCATGTTATTTGAAAGTTGAATGTTACAAAAAAGTTATTAAAAAGCAGTTCAGGGATAACAGCATCACTGTCCCTGTTAGCTCAGATTGAGGTTTATAACTACACACAGAATAGAGAAGAATGTTGAGAAGATTATGGTGCCTGTCAACATTCCCCCTCTAAAGAAGGGCTCAAGTTGAGAAAAAATTTTCTTACAGAAATTTTACACACTGATTTTAAACAGGCAGGATGCCCTAACCAGATAATAAATCTTTTTTCTGTACTTTGAAATTATAGTTCCACAGACTGCTGAATTGCTGTAATAACACTCTCTTCCACCTTGTTTTCAACTCCTCTCTCCCTGCTCCCAGTTGTATAGGCTTGTGTAGGCCCTTATACCAGCTCTGGCACTAATCTTCTCATGACCTGATTTTTCTCAGTAACCCTGCTGAAAACTCCTTTTTCTCATCTCCAAGGAATTTAAATCAGTGATTTTAACACATCTAATACAAAGTTAGAATGGAATAGAATCATCTTCTAGATATCATCATCATCACCTATCTTCTAGATATCATCATCTAGATAGACCTGCCAGAGGCAGAGTAAAATAAGAAGTATATTTGCATGGCTAGCAGTATGAGGGAATGTGTGTGGAAAAAATGGCAGTGCAGGGAGGAACAGGAACAACTTCACCTGCACTGAGCTGTTAAAGCAACTCACCATATTTCATGAATCTGTAGTGCCCGTAGCCACCACAGAATACAGTGTTAGGGTGCTGACTTTGCTCTTTTTGTAGGTCTGGATAATTGTTCAGTTTCCCAGAAAGTACAGGTACACATGTGAGGAGTGTAGCAATACAAACATGAGAAAAATCTTAAAAAAAACAACTGTGTGTAGTCACCTGCTCATAAATAAAGCTGATACAGTGTTAGACAGCCAGTCTGATTTCAATTACTAACCATAAGTTCGTTACAGAACACAGGGTTAATGCCCATCTCTAGTAAAATAGCACGCATATTTAAGAAATCAGCAGCTTTTCTGTCCAATCAAGCATCCTTCTGAATCTACTAGAGAACTGTCAGAAGAGAAAGACAGAGAATACAAATCAAAATATTAAACAGAGATATAGGTAAGGAAAAACAAACAAAAAAACCCCACAAAAAACCCAAAAAGCAGAAAAGGATGTTCTCTTTAAAGGAAGAACTAAGTCATCAAGATCTGGGAAAATGAGTATAAAAAGGCAATGTTGTGTATACACATAGAGTCTGATACTCCATTTTCAACTTATGAATAAAATATTAAGTGAACAAAGGTGGCAATGTTGAAAATTATAAATACAAACAATTATTTGTCTTGTACATTAATCTCATCTTTCAGACTTTTTTTTTTTCCTTTTAAAACCAAATGTTGCTGAAACTGGTGATTATGGCTTTAAGAGAGAGACTACAAGCAGAAGGAATGGGAAGTAGCAAGGAGACACAGGCAACACAGCCACATATGCCCTAAAGAAAACAGTCTCAGGTATCTTTTAGTGTTACGGAAATTGAAAAAGGCAATTGAAGTTTATGCAGCAGAGAACATTGTCCATTCTTTCTCACCAGAAGCTCCTTGAAAAGTTTTAGCCAGTACTGCAGGACCTAACTGGTTTCGCTCTTTTTGGAGCTCATCAGCTGCAGGTAACGGCTCAAAAAACATAATGCATGCACACAAACAAAAATAGAGCAGAACATTCTGTTAAAGGAAGAAGTCTTCTGCATTCTAACGCACGCATTTATATTATAAGCATATGTTTTCAAAATGGCTGCCTCTTGTGATTGGAATAAAAAGTGACAGTGAAGCTGTTCTTTCACACCAGAAATCAAGAGTATTTTGCTAAAAATCAAAGATTATTTTCCTTCTTAAAAATTATCATAGTATCTGTATTCTATTAACTCTGGCAGAAAAGTAAGTTTTGTACTGTTGTCTTGGGCAACCTAACCATGTTAAATATTTGAATATAGATCCTATCCACTTAAGGCCATCTTAATTTAGATGTATTACCTACTGTTAACAAATACACTAGTAAACAAAATGCTTCACTCTATGAGAACAGCAATAAAAGTCCTATTAACCTCTCTTTGACTTCATTTAATCTTAGAATTTATCAACAGAAGATAAAGTCAGAAGGTAACATACTAGGGTTTAGTAGTCTACTGAAGTTTCAAATGATGGTACACGTCTTTAAAAATTTGCAGTAAAGCCAAGATTTTGCTCAATTATGTAAACCAGTAAAGAAGTGAGAACACTTGCACAGTAAAGTAGAACAAAACCACTGGAACTTAAATTTTGGCGAGATCATTGAATTTTCTATCAACCTTCTTTGAACAGTAGAGAATAGAGACAAAAAGCACCAGAAGATAAGATGACAACAGTATTAGCTACAATGTGTAGTAAATGGTCTGAGTCCACCCTGAATTTGTTAAGTAGTACTTCCAGAGGCCACACACAGCCATGTGCCTTTGGAGTTCATTAAAACTGTTTTGAAACTGTCTCCTAAATTATGTCCTAAACAGCTCCTTGAGTTATAACCTATTGTCTCCGAGTAATCTGCACAAACAAAAAATGGTTGACTGCATTTTTTCAGAAGAGGTAATTAGTAGCCAGCATTCACAACAACCTCAGCATAAAACAGGATGATATGACCCTGCAACATAAACCAAGCCAATGCTGTAGCACAGTGGAATACTTTTCTGAATCCCTACTACAGCACTTGAAGCTGTAGGCACTGCATTTGAAGTTTCTGTATTTAAAAACTGTAAGAAAACAGATTAAGCTAAACAGTGCTCAAATCTGTGAGAGCAAATACCTTTATAACAGTCCAAAGACATCAAAAGTGTTTCCTACTGTGCATCAAAAATAGTTTTGAGCAGAAGCTAAATAACTGGCAACATTTTGAATTATATTTCAACCACACAACAGATGTTAATAGTGCTCAGCTGCAGCAAAGCTCTCATAATGCCAATTAACTAGAGAAGCTTGAATGTCTTATTTAGTACACATGAAATAAGAACTGGAGTTCTTAATGTGCAGAGAGGTGAACTCACAGTATGCAGTGTAGATACTCAAAAGCTGCGATCTAATGGAAATTTTAGTACTATCCTTTCTGGGCACAGAAGAAAGAAAAGTGATCTTAAGTGCAATAATAAAGCCTTTACAGCTTATTTCAAGCTTTATAAACTACTTTCAGTTACTCTTCCAAGCATGTATTCCATATGGTCTTTTAAAAAGAAATAATGAACCTCAATTTTATACAAAACCATTAAAAACAGGAAAATCAGAAAATCCTACATACAATCCACAGTTTCCACTTCTTTTATTTTATTCTTTTATTCTTCCTTTGGCTATTACCTACCTTCTTTTTAGAGGAAGATGAACAGGATAGCAGAAAGCTGGAAGAAGTAGTGAAAGATAAAAAGAGTTGAGATGCACAGAACTAGAGAAAAAAAATGAAGATGAGTATCTGAGAAGCAGAAGATGGGAAAAAGAAATAAAGTACATTTCAGTAACACTCAAATACTTAGCAAGCTGTGTTAAATTTTTTAATTTCTGTGTGCAGTGCTACTTGAAAATAAAGAAGTTTAATAGGACTCGATCTTCAATACACTTATCAAAAATTAATAGCTTATTACAACATGATTAATTTCTAAAATGTGTAAAACCTCCAAATTAGAAGAATCACAAGCTTCATACATATTTACAGTAAATGTAATCCAGAAACATATGATGAGCAGAAAAAGCATCTTCAGTTAATCTTGTGAAAAGCTGGCACATCAATGCTTAAGTGATTCTGCTACTGTACAACCTGAGACTCCATTTAGTGACTTCAGAATTTCTGACACCTGCTTGGACTTTGGGGGTTTTTTCACTGCTCTGAACTCTACACCTTACCCTTGAAGACTTACCTCATTTTTCATGCTCACTAACTTAGTGGGAAGCTGAAGGGTAACTCATTACAGAAAAGTACTATGCACAGTTCAGTCAACTATTTTAAGAAGCTTGGGAAAGTCCTTGGGAAATCACATAAGTGAGTTTGTAAGTAAACTATGAAAGCTGGTAAGCTATGAAAGTATTTACAAAAAGAGAATTAGTATTTTTATATTCTTAATTCAGCTAGTTTTACTTACATGTCATGTACTTATATACAATACCCCAGAAATAGACTTGAGAGCAGATGAACAAGCACTATGATCTATATTGTAAACTAACTCTCAAATTGGATCCTTATTTTTAATGAATGAAGTATTAATTCTTAAACACAAAGGCAAACACAGTAGGTATGACATTGCATTTATGTGATTCTCAGTCTGTTTCTGATCTTATGGGACCTCTTACAGTTTTAACTAGCCACTCGCTTCCCCAGCCAACCCAACTGAGTACAAAGTATGGTACTGGTCACAGACACAGAAGCTACTTACAGACTACGGAGGGAGCAAGACACATTCACCAAGGCACCAAGAATTTATTTTTTTTTTTTTAAGAAAAGGAGAAAGAATGACTAGGGTGTGAAAAAGTGCAGGTTCCCTCCAGAAGTATTTTTTTGGAATCGTCTACCTTAGGCAAAACTTCCTTGAATTTTATATAACCAATGGGTCTCTTAAGAGCATTCTAAGTACTATTTTTCATGAGAACCTGCAAGCCTATATATATAGGAAGAACCATTGTCATACAAAATCCTGTAATAACTGAAGATCTACCATGTCAGATACTTAATTTCTATCTCTAACACAGTATCTGTATCTACTACTCCTAGTGCTCATTAAAAAAAGTTCTCTTTCCTTCTTAACCAACCAGAAGACTGATTCCTTCTTCCATTGTTTTTCTCCCTCTCCTTCTCTTTTAGTGTTGCATAGATAGAAAGAGTTAAGGTTTTCTGTAGAGTAACAGCAAGATCACACTTGAATAAGAGCGAGGGACCCGCTTCCCAAAATTCCAGCTAAAAACTGGAAAAAGAAGAACTAGAAAAAGTAAAGAAGATGACTATCACCATTTTGTAGTCATTCTTTAATCTCTTACCTTTCCTCTCCCGTTCTCCTTCAACCCATATTGGCCAATCTCCTAAAGCAATGCAGAAATCCAGAAAAAAAAGAAGGAAATAGACCAGCATAATAGAGGAGAAGCTCACAGATGTTGACAGTATAGCATATCGTGCATGAGAGGAGACAGAACTACTTAAAATGAAAATTTGTTTTTAAGAGAACAAGCTATGGTACCCTCAATAGTGAAGATTCCAGGAAAATACTCTGTAGATTGTTTAGATAAATGGACCCAAGGCGGGGTGGGGAAACAGGAGACCTGCTACACTTCTGCCCAAATCAAGAGAACAGCGTATTGTCTGATATCTTGAACTCTTGATTATAAGCAGAATTTATGCAGGACTACCTAATTCAGGCCAGGAAGAATCATTTCCTGAAGAAAGGGAAGAGGAAGAATCTGGCTTTTAATAAAGAAACAGATTGAAAGAAAAGAAGTCCTATCAGAAAAGCATTTCTACAAACTGTGTTAAAAAGAGTATAAGTAAAGGCAGATTTCTGAAAATAACCTGATGGTTAATTTTAAGAGCAGAACAGTAAAAATAATTGCAAGCATTCATAGTTTCACTGATGTTACAAAAATTAATTAATTTGAAATTATTTGATAGGATACTTAAAAGGTTATTATTTCCTGAGTTTATTTTTTTAGGTCACTTTTACGATGACTCTTGCACTACAGAAGCTGAAATGCTTCTGACTGAATGAATGCTCACAATGAATGCTGACTTTCCTCAGAACTCCTATGAAACAAGCTTTTTTAGAATCCATGTCTCCATTTTGAAAGTTGCATCTTTTCCATTCAAATTAAGACATAGGCAAGTCTAAGAAAAGACAAGCCCTTTTACAGAAAGTGATTGTACTTTTACAAATACTGTAGAGACAGGTAATTAACATTTGGATAAAAATTAGTATATCCAGAAATATGACTATAAGATGACTGGACTTTCCCTCTTCTACAGGCTACTTTTTACAGAATTTATAAACCAGCTATTTTTAATAAGATACATCCAGACACATATACACATACCTCATATTCCTTCCTGCAGACCTTTAAAACATCATTCTTTGCAGAAGCCTGAAAGACAGAAAAATTTTTCCATTTGTAGTAGAAGATAATAAAATCATGTTGCGAAATAAAGATGATTCTACCTTTATGTTAACTGTGATAACCATGAATTCATGCTCCATTCAAATGTTTCTTTTTAAGAACCTAAAGAATCCACATAAAGCTTTAGAAAAAAAAGCAGAAACTATGACTGTCAGTACTACATTTAATCAAAAAACAAAACCTCGTATTTCTGCACCAAGTTAGTTGATACTGGAAGCACATAAAGCAACTTTGGTTTTGTGGAAGGTTTACCAGATAGAGCAGAATATGGGAAACATTCAGGAAATGGAAGAACTTGAGCATAAGAATCTCCTCATTTTGCACGCTCAACACCACTTACGTTGACCCTTTCCCTTCTCCTCCATCTTGTACATACAGTCCTACAGTTCCTATTGTCAAACTGAGTTGCAGAAATTCTCCCTTCAAACTGCAGATCAGTTTCTTCTATAGAGTACCTCTTGCTCCTTTTTTCATATGACAGATACTCAAAATTATTATTAATACTTCTTTTCAGACAATCAGAAGTACCCAGTTTGTTTACTCACTCCTCATCTCTTTTCCACACTACTCAGTTTGTGTACTCACTGCTTATCTCTTCTCAAATAGTTTAATGCTTTTGAGTGAAAGTAGCATCTTTTTTTTTGCATGACAACAATCTGCAGTCGGCTCTTAGTCCAAGATTAAGATCACACAGGTAACATGCAAGATACTACAGTGAATATTAAGTACAACTGTGCTCCATGACTGAATTACAAGGATAAGTAATTACGTGCTATTTGACTTTGGAGAGGTTTCTAAGGTCACAAGTATATATTTGGAAGAAAAAATAAAAATAAAAAAAAAAATCACAAAATGCTTCACAGATTTTTAATAAAAAGGTCATTGCTAAATTAGTGTATTATGCTTAAAATTGTTAATTGACAAAAATATTGATACAGTAATACCAAAACCAACTTTCTTTCATCTGATGAACTAAACCTCTTTGAAAAGGCACAAAAATCTATTTGGGGTGTAACCACAATGTTGCATCACTCAACATTACACTGCAAAAAAAAAAAAAAAAAAAAAAAAAAGCTTAGAAACAGCCACATGTTGCCTTCTACTCAGTGTTATTTTAAAATATCAACTTTCATGCAGAGATTGTGACCAAAAAAAAAAAAAAAAATCATCAAGAAATTAAGTTTAGCATAACCAAAGAGACCTTCAGAATCTTTATGGATTCAGCCAATAAATTACTACGCAGGAACAAACTAGAACACATCAGCAATAATCATGCGCCTACTGTTTGCAAAGCAGAACTAAGTGGATTAGCTCCACCTGCCAAGTGCAGTGGTGCTAGGACACTCTGGCAGCCAGCCCGCCAGCTCTCACACTGGTGCTTCTGTGGTGTCAAAGTTATAAACACAGTAAGATTTCATCTTAACTCTACCTTCATGACTGAGCAATTAAATATGGCATCAGAATGTACAAAAAAGGCTAACCCTAAGGTCTTAAAATTTCTTCTTCAGGCTCATCAAGCCATAGCAAGCAGCCTAGTCCTACAGCACAGTTGAAAACACGTATCCAAAAAAATTCTCCCCAAAAACCCACCCCTTTTTTTTTAAACTAGGTTTTCATCTCAGTGGACTTGAACCTATAAAGTGAATTTTCAATAAAAAAAGGAAAACCAGATGTTCTTTGTTTTGGTTTTTGGAATTTGGTTGCTGGCATTTAATACCTTCCTGTGAAGTCATCTAGTCATATTTTGCAATTTAAGAAAGAGTTTATGTGATAATTTAGTTTTGATGTAAAAAATTCATTAAGCCTGAAGTTCATAAACATAAATGAATTCAACATGGTGTCATTTCACATTAACCACAGAAAAACAACTAGAAAGCCTTACCTGCTTACATGCTTGCCGGCATTCCACAGCAATAGCTAGCTCACAGCAACCTAAGCCAACCCACCCATCAGACTTCTTCAAAACTCCTTTGAAAATAAGATGACAGTACATATTACAGTGGAAACTATGCCATCATTTTCCCTTCCCTCCCCATGAATCAGTTATTTATCAAATTTGATAATCCTGTTCTCATTCAAGAAGCCTATTTACAGATTACATTTTAATTGGAATTTATTAAGTCATTCCAAACCAATTTTAATCAAGAAAAGGGCAAGTCTGTGCCTTAATAAATGCTGAACGTGGCAATTATGAAGTACCTTCTATATACAGAATTTAAAGATGCCTTATGCAAGCTATTTCCTATGTTCACTGGAATTATCAGAGTTTAATAATTTGATTTATCTAATTTGAAATGTAAGACAACAAAAACCAACAGCAGGGACAGCTGATCGTAACTGACCAGAGGGATATCCTAGACCATATGACATCATGCTCAGCAATAAAACTGGGGACCGGAGGTTGGTGGGGGCTGCTGTTGCTTGGGGACTGGCTGGGCATTGCTTGGTTGGTGGTGAGCAATTGTTTTCTTTTGCATCATTTGTTTTTCTTGGTTTTGGGTATTTTTTTTTTCTTCCATTTTTTAATTATCAAACTGTCTACCCTTCTAATTCTCCTCCTATCCCATTGGTGGGGGAGTGAGCAAGCCTAAAACAATGTAGCAGTTGCTTCTGCGTAACTTTCATGTGTGGAGCTCTCCACAGATTCCTTTCAATCAAAACAGTAATATTTGGTAGAATATTTATTAGTAGGATTGATATTGTAAGGTATAAGCAATCTAAAAAACATAAATGAAATATCATGTGCAATACGAAAACAAGAGAGAAATCTCTGCAGCAATAATCAGCTATAGCCAGGAGAAACACATAATAAATACATCTGTACAGCTTTAGGGGCAATGTCACCACTGAATAATCCAGCATCTATATTTCTTGCCATACAGAGCCTGCAGTTTTCAGACATACTTTTACTGGAACTAAGCTGTACTAAAAACAAGCTACAGATACATGCCAAATTAAGAACACTGATAAGTTTCAGCCATAGTTAGCATTTTCTTGGCAAGCGGCCTTCTGACCAGTAGCAGACAAGCTTGCAGAGAAAAAACTGATGTCACATATTCAAAAACATTGAACTGCAATTTTAATACAGCAACTTAAATATTAATTTTGTACTCAAGGTAATTAAAATGTATGCATTTCTAAATGAAAATACACCTTCAGTGCACAATTAATTCACTGGAGCCCATAGTCCTGATTATTCACCAAATTAATTGATAAGAGAACAATACAGATCTCTGAACTATAAAAGATCATCTAGTTGCATAACACAGGCTCTTGTCCCACATCTCCAAAAAGTTTTCAGAGGCTACATCACATTAGTGAGATGACTTACAACGCACACGTTTTTATTCCCTATTTAAACATTTTACTGCAGTCTCCACAAGAGCACTGAAGTCAGAAACAGAGGAAAAAGGCCGCATAAACATGAAAAATTAGAATGTCATCTCTGATACATTTATTTTGTGATGAGAGAAAAATTCTACATTCTGAAAATTTCTGAGAAATGCTGGATCACCATGATCCTGAGGAAACTGGGGAGGAAAAAACCAAAAAGGAAGATTGGAAAAAGAAGAAAGTGAAAAACAACTAGGCATTTCATGTTCAAGAGTTGCATGCATCAAGAAGGGTGCAAGAAAGCCCAAGATGGAATTTTGTTGTCTCTTTGAAGTCTTCTACAGTCTGCTTACAGAAAATTATAAAGCTTAAACTTAGCAGAACATAGTTAAAACCCAGAATTACAGGTTGCTGGGTTTGCTCTCCCCCTCTCCCACCTGGGGGTCCCTTGATCATCTTTTGTAAGCAGCTTCTTGAACAGTACCATGTGTGCATGGTCATAAAAGAAACTTAGGCCTACTGATTTAATAAACAAACATTGACAAACTAATGATACTTGCCTTCAGAAAACATGGAAAAATAATTTTCTTCCAGAGAATACTTACATTCCTGAACATCTAAAGTATTTAACGCTTACAACATTGTCTTGGCAAGGACAATAAAAACACAACTAAAACCACAACTTACAGTGTTGTTTTGTGAGGATGAGCCATAAAAGGAAGTTAATAGAAGACCATCATGATGCATTTAAGGAAGAGGAAATAAACGTGAAAAAGAACGGTAGCTCAAGTGGTAGCTGTGAGAATATTAATGTTTTAAGGTAACTATTGCAATGAACTTACTGGTAAATCAATCAATTTCTAGATTTTGACACAGATCAGTAATATCAAGCTGCTGTGGGGAAGGAGTGGAAGAGGAGAAAACACAAGCTATAATGAAAATACACAAAGGATATATCAAGCAGCAAATTATAAGGCAGAGTCCCAAATTATTTAGCGTATATGTTGTCTTATGACAGGATGCCATTGAAACTTGTGTTAACATGTTTCCACCTGCATTCTTAACTGCCAGGCATGTCATATGGCTGTTAAGAAAGAAAACAACTATCAAAGTAATCTGTTTATCCAGTCAATATTCTGCAACTGTCCTTGATAATGCTGATGTTGCGAGGGCTGTATACAGTTTCATCATTGTGCATGTGTATGAGCGTGTGTGTGTCTGTGTGAAAACACTTTGTGGATGCTGTACTATGAAAAATCAGATATGCTGATCCAGTGAAAACTCTGTTTGTGGCCCCATTCTAAACTGTTCTGAAATACTTTCTGTACCGAGGGTAGTCAAAGGAGAGAAAAATCAGGAAGAAAACCACAGAATCACTGAGGTTGGAAGGAACATCTGGAGATTGCTTAGCCCAACCTCCCTGCTCAAAACAAGGACAGCTAAAGCAAGCTGCCCGGGACCATGCCCAATAGGGTTTTGAATACCTGCACAGAAGGGAGACTCCAAAACCTCTCTGAACAACCTCTTCCACTGTTCAATCTATACATTAAAAAAGTTTTTTTCATATGTTTAAATGGAAGTTACCATTGTTCAATCTGTGCTGACTGCCTCTTGTCCTGCCACTGGATACCATTGAGAAGAGCATGGCTCCATCTTCTTTACACACTTCTATCAGATAATTATACATATTGATAAGATCCACATCCCTCAGCTTTCTCTTCTTGACAATGGTAACCAGTCCCAGCTCTCTCAGCCTGTCCTCATATATATTCCAGTCCCGTAATCATCTTAAAGGGGCACTTTGCTGGACTTGCTCCAGTGTGTTCATATCTTTCTTGTACCGAGATGGCCAGAACTGGACACAGTATTCCTGACGTGGTCTCATCAATGCTGAGTAGAGGGGAAGGATCACCTCCCTTGATCTGCTGGCAACACTGTCCCTAATGCAGCCTGGAGGCTGTTGTCCTTTCCTACAAGGGCACATTGCTGGATCATGTACTACTTGCTGTCCACCAGGATCCCCAGGCATGTTTCCACAAAGCTGCTTTCCAGCTGGTCAGTCTTCTGTGTGCTGTGGAGCATGGGACCTTCACCAGGTGCAGGACTTTGAATTTGCCTTTTTTGGAACTTCATGAGGTTCCTGTCTGCCTGTTTCTCTGGCTTGAAAACACCCCTTTGAATTGCAGCACAACTATCTGGTCTAGCAACCTCTCCTCCCAGTTTTCTATCATCTGCAAATACACTGAGGGTGCACTTTGTCCCATCATTAATGAGGATTTTAAATAGGACTAGACCCAGCATCAACCCCTGGGATACTGGCCTCCAGCTCACAAATATGTTGATATACCCATAGTACGCCACTCATACGCCCATGCGCTGTTGTCAGCTGGATCATCATTCATCCCCAGGCAGAGCTCCATGCATGCCAGTTACACTCTCAGATAAAGGGCAACTTCCCCTCCCCATCTTCCTGGCCTGTCCTTCCTGTACCTGTCCATCAAAGCACTCCCACTGTGGAAACCCTCTTGCTAGGTCTCTGTGACCCCAACAAAATCGTAGCCTTGTAACTGCACACAGACTTCTAACTCCTCCTGTTTGCTCCCCACGCTGCGTGTACTAGTGTACAGGCACCTCACAGAGGAATCGAGTTGTACTGATTTCCCAGAAAGGGAGTAAGAGCTTCCCCTATAATGCTGTCCTATATATACCACACCATTAATTTACAAAATTCTACAGTGTGTGGAATCACTGGAGAATACTTAAATTTAAAAGTGGCTCACATCAAAGAAGAAGAAAACAGTAACATAATTTCACATGCAAGAAGAATAAAAAGTGACTGGCTTTGTGCAAGTTCAAAATTCAGGATAGAAGCTCAAGGCACTACAGGAAGGCTTCACTTTTATCACAGGACTAAATTATGATTTACAGCACCTTCGAAGAAGTGACTTTTTTTTCCATAAATCAGAGGATAATAGAATCCTACCACAAAGGCACTGAAAAGGCCTCACACGATTTTAGAAAGTACAGGAAGACAATTTGGAAGTGGTTCATTAACAAAGATTTCCAATGCTTTTTCACTTGCTTACACAAACCTAACATTCAAAATAATATACGTATTTCTCACTTGCAGTTAAAGCATTGCTACTCATTTGCATACAGCTACTGAGCTTCAGTGAAGATTAGGTATTGTTTCCAACTAAAAATTTATCATGAGACAGAAGCACTGCAACTCCAAACAATATTATTGGTTAAGTAAAACTAGCAAAATATAAGACAGCAAATCTCATTGCATGCACTGGAATCAACAGCTTGCCTCTGAAGCAGGATGGGAAGTCTGAGCAGATGCCATAGAACTGTTAAGGCCTCCTCTTTCCTCACTACAACTTTTTCAACTACAGCATAATTTCACTCAAAGTATTTTAAAATGGCCATATGTCCTGGTTTCGGCTAGGATAGAGCTAATTTTCTTCATAGTAGCTAGCATAGTGCTGTGTTTTGGATTTAGTACCAGAAGAATGTTGATAACACACTGATGTTTTCAGCTGTTGCCAAGTAGTGCTCAGACTATTCAAGGACTTTTTGAGCTTCTCCTGCTTGGCCAGGTGCATAACAAGCTGGGAGGGAGCACAGCTAGC